CGCAATGAGGGAACCGCCAGAAGGCCCTCGGCACTGGAACTCAGAGTCCAGGCAGAACAATAGGGGCAGAGACGCTCCTTCAGGTCTACTAGGCTGGGGCCGTTTAGGGCTTTAAAGGTCAACACCAACACTTTGAATTGTGCTCGGAAATGTACTGGGAGCCAATGTAGGTCTTTCAAGACCGGTGTTATATGGTCTCGGCAGCCAGTCCTGGTCACCAGTCTAGCTGCCACATTCTGGATTAGTTGTAGTTTCCGGGTCACCTTCAAAGGTAGCCCCACGTAGAGCGCATTGCAGTAGTCTAAGCATGAGATAACCAGAGCATGCACCACTCTGGCGAGACAGTCTGCTGGCAGGTAGGGTCACAGCCTGTGTACCAGATGGAGCTGGTAGACAACTGCCCTGGATACAGAATTGACCTGCGCCTCCATGGACAGCTGTGAGTCCAAAATGACTTACTGTCTTTATGATAGCATAAGCCAACCTCCCTCATCCTAGTGGCTTGCGTTAGCCGGATCCTCAGTGAATCTATTTATTACTTCTTTATTTAAAAAATTTCATTAAAAAATACAGCAAGCTGCTATACAATTTACAAAATTGCAGCCGCTTTGATGAAAGCAAAATTGCAGTCACTATTGACGAAAGCATCAATCAATCTGCATGCCCTCCAAGGGCTGCTATTTTCCAGGGACAGCCCAGGATTTACAAAAGCCGTCCCGGTTTCTGATTTGATCCCAGAATGTCCTGCTTTTCCTTAGGAGGTCTCTCTTTTTATCATAGAAATGTGGGAGTGTATGGAGTTACGCAACCCCCAAGCTAAGGAGATAAGTAACTCTACAAACTTTTGAAGACACCTGAAGGCAGATCTGCATAGGAAAGTTGTTGGTTTTCTAACTGTTTAAGGTTTTGTTATGTTTTATATTTGTCTGGGGCAACCCAGTCAAACAGAACGGTTGGAAGAGTACAAGATTGAATTCCAACCCTGAACTTTTTGCTGTTAGGAAAGTGATGGGAACATGTACAAAACATATGATTAATGGGAAGACATGCAATCAAGTGGTTGGAAAAAAATGCCCCTCTCCTCTTCTTCTGACCCCTTGCTCTTCTGGGGTTCTCCTGCCCCCCTGAACACAATAAAAATGATTTCTGGAGGGGCATTTTATGCAGCCTTTATTGAGCAATAGTCATAATTTGTTCTCTGGGAGGTTATACAACCGTGAGCATTCATCCTCCGTTCATTTGGATTTTCCTGCAGTCACTGTCCTAAAAATTGTGGGTTTCCCTTATAGTGGACTTGTTAAACTAGTGCAATAATGTGTTTTAGCCCACTTTCAGTGTGCAGACCTAAAGTTTCTATATACACTTAATTATTTTTAAATTGAGTGCAGAAAAAATCAAAGTGGTTTACAAAATCAATCCCTCCTAGAAAATACTGACAGAATGGAAGAAACTTCCTTTTTTTTTTAATCAGTGAAATATTGACAGAGCAGTTCATTGCTTTTTTTGAGGTGGGGGGTGGGAAAGGACATACATTTAGCCCTGTCTGACTGGCATTATTGGGTAGAAATCACCATTAAAGATGATAATTGCTTTCTCTTGCTTTGACCTATAGAGTTTGCATTTTTGTGGTTGCTTTTATTAATTCATCTCTTGTCCTCTTTTATGCATTGCTTATCATCTCTGTAATAAAAAGGCCTGGTTTTAAAATCCCTCTGTGCATGTCTTTTGGAATGAGCTGCCAACCACAGCAGAGGACATTCTTCCATGTAATTCACGGCCTCCCTAGGCCAGGCAGCTGGTTGTGACAGAATGTCAGGAAAAAGGGAAAGAGAGTTGAATGGAAAGAAGCAGGAACCCCTTCCTCCCAGAAAGCCATTCATTGATGTCAAGCCCCCTTCAGAAGCACCAGATGGAGGTCAGAACATCTAGAGAAGGTATGGGCTGACTTCAGCCTTGTGGGATCTTCATTGGTTTTTACTGGAATCCTGAGATCATAGAATCATAGAACATAGAGTTGGAAAGGGCCCAAGAGTCGTCGTCGTCATCTTCTTCTTCTTCTTCATTGCGTTCTACCGATAAAAAATAATAATAACTATTAGGTAAAGGTAAAGGGACCCCTGACCATTAGGTCCAGTTGTGGCCGACTCTGGGGTTGCGGCGCTCATTTCGCTTTACTGGCCAAGGGAGCCGGTATACAGCTTCCGGGTCATGTGGCCAGCATGACTAAGCCGCTTTCTGGCGAACCAGAGCAGTGCACGGAAACGCCGTTTACCTTCCCGCCGGAGTGGTACCTATTTATCTACTTGCACTTTGACATGCTTTTGTACTGCTAGGTGGGCAGGAGCAGGGACCGAGCAACGGGAGCTCACCCTCCCATTCAAACCACCGACCTTCTGATCGGCAAGTCCTAGTCTCTGTGGTTTAACCCACAGTGCCACCTGCGTCCCTGAAGTCCTTGTTGGCCTACTACAAATCAGCCATGGATCTAACAGGAGGTACTCAGTGACTCAACTGGGTGCTTTTTTCCTGGTTTTGCATCCTCTGCATCTTGCCAAAAGCCAAGACCTCTTATTTCTTCATATCTACATCTTGTTCCGGGGAGGACTTGCCAAAGGCTCAGCAGAGTGCAGTGAGCTCGTAATGTCCAATTTTTGGAGACGCAACACCGGGAGATGCATCTTCCATGCTGTGCTCATTGGCAAGTCACATGACCCATGCCTCCCTCTTCCCCCCCACAAAGGCACTTTTTGAGGGGCAAGATCATGCTTTAAACCCAAAAATGCACTTGGCAGGTGTGTGAGCTAAGATATGCCTCAAATAAAGGCTCTTCAGTCCTCCTCATTGGACTGTTCTGGGGGAGCCTCACATCTCTGCAACAGCTTATACAAAGCCCTGCCTCTGAAGATGGTGCAGAATCTTCATTTGTTGCAGAATTCAGCCCCCAGATTGTTCACCAGGATAAAACAGTTTGAGCATATTAAACCGATCCTGCCCCGGCTGCCAATTAGTTTCCAAGTGGAATGTGAAATGTGTTTTGTGTTCTCCTCTTAGACTTTTATACAGTGAACCATCCTGAGATCCTACAACTACAAATGCTCCTGCCAGGCTATTATACAAAAACATGAATTTGGATCACTGTGTGCAGTTCTGGCCAACGCTCCTGTAAAAGGATATTGTGGAGTTGGAAAAGGTGCAGAAAAGGGCAATCGCAATGATCAAGGACATCAAGCAACCACCTTAGGAAGAATTGATTATTGGGAGAGTTACCACCAAAGCAATCAGCATCCATTTCATAGAAGGCATTGGGTTGTCCATGGTGAGAACCTCACTGCTTTTCAGCTTATTAATGTGTACGTAGCCCAAGCCCAGGAAATTGTTTTCAGTACCAGAACATAATGGAGCTAATGGTCCTTCCATAGAAAAATTCACTCTTGGTTACCCTCCAAGCTTTCTTTATCTGAGGCATAAAGTTTAGATGGAAGGGACAGCAGACCATGGAGGATGGACACTCTGTGCTGTTCTCTTAAACAATTGAGATTCAAAGGCCCAGTATCAAACTGCTGCATAGCAGCCATGGATCCAGCAGGAGGTACTCAGTGTCTCAGTTGGGTGCTTTTTCCTGGTTCTGCATCGTCCAGGTCTCGCCACAGGCCAAAACCTCTCATCTCTCCTTCTCATTCTAGGGGACACACTGTGCTTATGGCTTGGCTAGTGGCCCCACCTTCCTTTAGGGCATGGCGATGACTTGCTAGTCTTTGCTGAGAAGTGGGAGGAAACAGCTTCCTATGGGGCTACAAATATGGGAAGCTCAGTGCTTCCAACCCCAACAACCATCTGCCTTGTAGCCCAACATTGAGCCTCGCTCTATCAATCCATCATCACCAAGCCATGAAGGTCCTTCACCTGTTCTGGGCTGTCCTATCTCTGCTGCTGTTGGCTTCAGGTAAGGGATGGAGAAAAAGAAAAAGAGATTCCACACAAATGACCACTCCTGTTAGGGACCAGGCTGAGGAGAGCTACTCTGATGAGGAATAGTGGGGGCCTCCCCCTCCCCCTGCTCCTAATCAGGATCCTGAAGCTGCCCAGGAGCAGTGGAGCAGTATAGATTTGGAGCAGTGGTTTGCAGAGGGACATAGTTTGGAAGACAACAGCTGGGCAGAACCGAGTGGGGAACAGCCAGGAGAAGAAGAAGAGGGGGAGAAAGAGAATTAACAGACTCCCTTTCACTGGAAAGTGTCCAAGCGCTCAGTCCAAGGTCAAGGAGAGCAGAGAAGGTAGCTACACAGAAGGCCAAATGGTCACGAGATCACGTTGCCAGACGAGGAAGTGACGGGGGTGGCTCAGGGGGAAGTGGGTGGAAACCTTAACTGGAAGCACCTTTCCTCCGAAAATGGAGTCTTCATTCATTCACTGTGAACATTAAATTCTCTTTAACTGGTAAGAGACTATTTTTGCTTTGTTCTGCTTAACCACGGCCAAAGGGAGGGAGGAACCATTTTCCCAGAAGCCTGACATAACCCAACAAGCTTTCATCTATGGTAGGCATGCAATTTAGAATGGCAGGGGCAGCTGAGCAGGCAAGACAGAGGCTTCTTGCTGCCCCATTAAGCCGTTGGGAGTCAGAAGTCCATATTGGTGTTCATCAACCATGAATCTACCAGGATGTACTCAGTGACTCAGATGGGTCATTGAGTACAACCTGGAGGGTGTTCTGAGTACTTTTTCCTTGTTTTGCATCCATAAGACCTCTTTACAGGCCAAAACCTCTAATCCTGACATCTCTCCTTCTTGTTCTGGGAAGCACAGTGTGCTTGTTGTTGGGATACTGCCAGGGAGATAAAGTCCATCAAGGCCCCCAAGCCGTCTGCCGGACGATCCATCAACCTCCCGTAGTCACGCAGTATCAACAATTAGCGACATGAGTTTCTCGAAGATTTCTTGCCACATTCCAGAGCTCATGCACACTCTTATCAGCAGATAGCACAGCCAAAAGTTGCAATCAGGAGAGCATTATTTACAAGTTTATTCAGCGTTGATCAGAACACAGAAAACCATGACTGACTGCTTTAGTGTCTGCGACACCAAAGAAAACGAAAGCAACAGAAAACATAAACATCCTGTGAACAGGAAATACGCAGACTCTGACTCACAAAGCCTGCTCCCTTTTAAGGTGGAACGGAAATATCCTAACATCCTCCCCTTTCCGTGTAACCTGTAGTACCTGTGGTTCAACCCAATTGCAACCTTTGTACGTAAACCTTAAGTTGTTCTCTGTTAACAACCTTAGACAACAGATCAGCAGGAATTTCATTTCCTGGCATGTAGGACACCTGAATGAGTCCTTTCTGAATACACTCTCTTGCACGATGTAGCTTAATCTGCAAGTACCTGGTCCTTTGCTTGCAACTCTCCGAGTTCAGCAAAGCCAAACACGATCTATTGTCTTGATACACTTGTACAGGACATTTCACAGAAACCCCGATGTCCTTAAACAGTTGCATCAACCATTCACAATCCATGAGTGAAAATGACAGAGCATTGAGTTCTGCTTCACAGGAACTTAGGCTCACTGTCGTCTGCTTTTGCACAACCAGTCAAACAGGCAGTGGTTGTACATGTAGCATACTCCAGAAGTGCTTGTACCATCCGTGGTGTCACTTCCAAAACTTGCATCTGCAAAGATTTCAAGACCTCCAGTCTTCTGACTGGTGAACCTCAGCCTGTAGTGCATAGTCCCTTTCAAATAGCGGGCTATGCGCTTCAGAGCTTTCCAATCCTGAACAGTAGGATTGTTGGCATGTCTGCTAAGCAGGTTACAGCTTACAGCTATGTCAGGTCTTGAGCATCTAGCAATGAAATTCAACTTGCCTAGAATGCATCTGTACAGCGTAGTGTCAGAAAACGCTTCAGCAGTACTATCTACCTGGTAACCTGTCACCATCGGTGTGTCTGCTGGGTTTGCATCAACCAAATTCAACCTGGTTAATACATCAGCAATTTTCTGTGTTTGGTGTACCAGAAAATTACCTGCTTGGTCCCTCTCCACCTGCAGAGAAAGATAGTTGGATACCTCACCAAGATCCTTCATGTCAAAGTGCTCCTTCAGCTGAGCTAGGGTGCTTTGGTACAAAGCCTGATTCTTCCAAAACATCAGAAGATCATCAACAAAACATAAACAATACAGTTTGTTTTGCCCCTCCTCCTTGACAAACACACATGGATCAGCTTTGCCCTGGTGAAAACCTAGAGAAAGCAACGTCTCAGTGAGTTTCGTGTTCCAACACCTGGCACTCTGCTTGAGACCATATAAGGATTTCCGCAGTTTACAGACCATTCCCTTCTGTATCTGCATGCCATCAGGTGGAAGCATAAACAGCTCCTCCCCCAGAACCCCGTACAAAAAGCTGTATTAATGTCATGATGGGAAACATGCAGTTTCTCCTCTGCAGCTATCTTGAGCATCAGCCGAATGCTCTCATATTTGACGGTGGGTGAGTACGTCTCGTGGTAATCCTGTCCTGGTACCTGTGAAAACCTCTGGCAACCAATCTGGCTTTGTGTCTGACAACCTTGCCATTCTGGTCTGTCTTGGCCTTGAAGACCCATTTGCTGCCAACCAGTCTCATTCCTGGGACTACTGGTACCAACTCCCAAGTTTGGTTCCTATTCAAGGAATCAACTTCAGCCTTCATGGCATTAAGCCAAGGCTCAGCATCTTTAGAGGTTAACTCCTGAACCTCTTTGAAGCTTGAAGGTTCCCATACCTTCTCTGAGCTACTAAGAACAGCAGTTGCTGTCTTAGCAAACTCATCAGCAAATCTCTTTGGAGGTCTGCCCTTCGTCGCTCTTTCAGATCTGCGTACTAGACGCAGGTCTTCCGGACTCATCTCCTCCTTAGGAGAAAAGTGACCAATGGTGAACAGTGGTTCTTCCAGATCATTGTCAGACGCATCAGATGGTCTGACTGAGGCCTTTGTGCTCTTGTAGTCTGCTGTGTCATCACTGTCACTGACACCAGCAGCAGCGCCGCCCACTGAACTGGAATCCGAACTCTGATCATCATCATCATCATCATCCTCAGCAGCTTCCTCAGCTTTAGCTGCTTCTTTCACATCACCTTCATCCTCCTCTGGGTAACTCTGGAAAATTCCCACATTTTCCCCCCACTTAGGATTGTACTCAACACTCTTTGTGAACTTAATGGACTTAGAGTTAGTCATCCATACCCTGTATGCACCTTTTTCGTACCCCATGAACAAACCATGTGCCCCACGCTTCCCAAGCTTGTTGCTCGGTGGGGTGTGTACCCCATTGACAGAACCAAAGATTCTCATGTGCTTGATGTTGGGTTTCTTACCAAACATCTTCTCACAGGGGTTACAACCAATAGGTGATGACAATCTGCGATTATAAGTGTAAGCAAAATTCGACAGAGCCTCCCCCCAATACTTATCAGGGAGATTGGCATCATGCAACAATGTTTTCATTCCTTGCAGCAATGTTTGATTTGCTCGCTCCGCAAGCCCATTCATCCATGGCGATCTAGGCGTTGACAAGTCATGCTGGATTCCCTTCTCAGTCAGGAAAGCTTCAAACTGCTGAGAAGTGAACTCCCGCCTCGATCAGTAAACAGACAGCCAATACGTTTACCGTGAACATTCTCCAACCAAGCACAGAATGCCTTGAATTTAGGAAACGCTTGCGATTTCTGCTCGAGCATAAACACATGAATGTACCTGGAAAAAGAGTCAATTAGAACCATGAAGTACCTTGCTCCACCCAAAGAGGGCGCAAGTGGACCAACCAGGTCTGCGTGCACTAGCTGGTAGGGTTTGGAAGCCTGCCTGCTAGACTCCTTGCCTTTTGGAGCAACCTTCACCTTGTTCTCTGCACAACATACACATTTCATGTGAAACTTACAGGGTTTGATGTTCAAACCCTCAACCATATCTGGCATCTTGGCCAGCGCCTGCCAAGACATGTGACAAAATCTTCTGTGTGCATCATGAATGCATCCTGCATGAAGAACTTTGTTAGTTTGTGCAACACAACAAGAATTAGCATTAGACACAACAGCACCAATGTCATCATAAGTTATACAGAACAAGCCATCCATAAACTTTGCATGCAAAATGTCCTCTTTGCCTTTTCTGACGACACAGACGCTCCTCTTGAAGGAAATCTCAAAACCACGCCCAGTCAGCTGTGGGACACTGAGCAAATTGTCTGCAGCGCCTGGAACATACAGTACATCTTTGATGGTCGTGTGCAGACTTGCCAGTTTCACAGTCCCTTCTCCCGCAATTCGCAACGTCTTCCCATCAGCCAGGTGGATCTCACCTTCTTGAGGTTTGAAGGAGATAAAGAGGTGGCGGTCCTTTGAGACATGGCGGGTACAGCCTGAATCAACAACAAACCTGGCTGTGATGTTTGGAGCAGTCTTTGCAGCAAGCAAAACCTTGTTTTCCACCGGCGTGGGCTTTTGCAGCTTGCCCCCCCTGCTCCTGGCCATCAGACTTGCCTTTAGCCTTTGGTGAGGCTGTGCCAGCAAACAAAACCTTGTTTTCCACTGGCGTGGGCTTTTGCAGCTTGCCCCCCTGCTCCTGGCCATCAGACTTGCCTTTAGCCTTTGGTGAAGCTGTGCCAGCAAACAAAACGTTGTTTTCCTCTGGCGTGGGCTCTTCACCCTCCCTCTGCTTCTGGCCATCTGCAGGCGTCTGCCTCTGTTTACCTTTGCCCTTCCGGCCTCTGCAAAGGCGATGACCTTGGCTCCCATGAGAAACAGAGCTCTCAGCTGCCGACTCCTTGGCTCCCCTGGAGGCTGGAATGCTGCCTGGGATGACGTGACAGGCAGCTCCCCTGCAGCTTGCAACCGGTGCCCTCGGCATCCCTGCATTCACTCGCATTCTGGGAAACAGCCAGGACCTCCGATGCAGTCAAACTCTGGGCTGGGATGACTGGCAGATGGGCTATCTTCGAAGCATGCCACATATTACGTGCAGTCAGATTGCCAGCTAACGTTTTAATTTCCTCCAGAGAGACGGACAAGACTATTATGTCAACGGCCTTCGAATTTTCGGCCTTCCATCTATCTGTCAGAGGAACTGGAGGGGCTTCACACACAGTATGCCACACTCCAAACTGACGCAGCAAGCTCTCACACCACACAGCCCAGGTCCCATAATTGTGCCGATTTAACTTTGGGCACGCAGCAGCCTCAGAAGCCTGGAAAACTCCATTCCAGGTTTCTACTTGAGCCGTGAATCTTATTCACTTCAGAGACGTCTTATCTCAGCAGCTCATTAATCACGAAGCCTTTGGCGCGTCTCCCAGATCCATTAATCTGCCGGAGTTCAAAGGCCCTTGCCTCGGCAAACAGAAAAGCCTCACTTTCGCTTTTCTTCCACATACCTTTCAGCAGTCTGTCGCAGTCTTACTCTCCTGTAAGTGCTGTGAATCTGGGCCCGAAACCTGTTGTTGGGATACTGCCAGGGAGATAAAGTCCATCAAGGCCCCTAAGCCGTCTGCCGGACGATCCATCGACCTCCCGTAGTCACGCAGTATCAACAATTAGCGACATGAGTTTCTCGAAGATTTCTTGCCACATTCCAGAGCTCATGCACACTCTTATCAGCAGATAGCACAGCCAAAAGTTGCAATCAGGAGAGCATTATTTACAAGTTTATTCAGCGTTGATCAGAACACAGAAAACCATGACTGACTGCTTTAGTGTCTGCGACACCAAAGAAAACGAAAGCAACAGAAAACATAAACATCCTGTGAACAGGAAATACGCAGACTCTGACTCACAAAGCCTGCTCCCTTTTAAGGTGGAACGGAAATATCCTAACACTTATAGCTGGGTCAGCAACCCACTGTCCTTCAGGGCATGGTGATAGCAAGCGGTGATAGCAAGCATTGCTGCTTCCAACTGCAGAAACAGAGCCTGGACTAGACGGACTATGATCTGATCCAGCAGGCTCTTCTTGCGCTCTTCTGTTTTAGGTAGGGGGAGAGATGACCTTGCTGTGTTTCAGGCTGCTAAAGTGTAATAGCCCAATGCCAGGAATTTGTTTTCAGTATCAGAACTGAATGGAGCTTATGGTCCTTCCATAGGAAAAAGAAACACTGGTTAACCCTTGCCCTGCCCCAGTGTTGTAGACATATAATCTGGAATGGAAGGAGCACAAGAGCAGGGAGGGCAAATGCTTTTTGCCGCCCTAACAACTGGGAATCTGAAGTCCTTGTTAAAGGTAAAGGGACCCCTGACCATTAGGTCCAGTCATGGCCAACTCGACTAGTATTCCTGATAGAAAAATTTCTGGTTTTTTTAGAAATGTAAATTTGAATAGTTTTTAAATTCACTGTAAATGTTGTTCCAAAATTCACGGATAACCTTGCAATTCCACCACATAAGGAAATATGATCCTGTATCTTTTTTGCATATCCAACATAATGTTTCCCATTCTAAAGTTTCCCTTCCCTTACCTCCACTTCTGAATTTGCAATGGACAGGGATCTTTTTTGTTTCTCCTTTTGCAAAGGATTTGCCAAGGAAGACCCAAATCTTGGACCAGATTGCTATAAGAGAGGCAGCACTTGCAAATCTAACAAGTGTCCCAAAGAAATGATTCAAGATGGAATGTGCAACATGAAAAAGATATGTTGCAAGAGGTAAAAAGAGCTCAAACAAGGTGCCGGAGATGAACTTAAATATTATTATATTCTTAACATTTTCATACCATACTTATTTTCATATTTCCACTTACACTTTATTATTTTCCAATTTGTACATCTTAATTTCTATGTTATTAATTGTAAGTGTTAAATCGAACCCTGCTAGCGAGTCCACTTCTTTGCAGTTTTTCTGTAGGCAGAGCATAAATGATTCCCAGTCTCTATTGTCCTTATCTCTAAGTTTCCCAGTCAACTTCACCAGCATATTCCATCAGTTTTTCTTGCCATTCTTCTTTAGTTGGTATCTTGTCATCTTTCCATTTCTGGGCTGGTAAAATCCTAGCCACTGTTGTAACGTACACGAATCGCTTCTTCCACTCTTTTGGCAAGTCTTGACCTGTAATGCCTAGCAAGAAAGCTTCTGGTTTTTTAACAGATGTTATCTTAAACATTTTTTTTTCATTTGGTTATAAACCATTTCCCCAAATTTTTGGTTATTTTACAGTTCCACCACATATGAATAAATGTGCCTTCCTTTTCTTTACACTTCCGAAACTTATTGGAGCCTGTTCTATACATTTTAGCCATTTTTACAGCAGTGATATACCATCTGTACATCATTTTCATATACAGTGGTACCTCGGGTTAAGTACTTAATTCGTTCTGGAGGTCTGTTCTTAACCCGAAACTGTTCTTAACCTGAAGCACTGCTGCTGCTGTGCCGCTGGAGCACAATTTCTGTTCTCATTCTGAAGCACAGTTCTTAACCTGAAGCACTATTTCTGGGTTAGTGGAGTCTGTAACCTGAAGCGTATGTAACCCGAGGTACCACTGTAATTCTCTTTCAACAGTGTACAATCAGCAAATTTTAAGTTCACTTTCCATAATTTTCCCCAGTCTTCCATTTGTATATTATGTCCTAAATCTTGTTTCTACATCATCCTTTAGACCTATGATGCATATTTTATTTTACCTATTTATTTTTCCTACTCGTCATCAAAATGATCTGGGACCTATGCTGTTGCATTCTTAGTCTAACTTGTTTTGGCTCATCAATTCACTGTTCTATCGTTTAACATTCTTCCGAGTTCTCCGCCTTCCTATCTATGATTGTAATTTTGACAGATTCCAGGTGATATGGAAGTAACTGGGGTTTTTTTGCTCTTGTTTTTGTTTGCTTGTTTTTAAGTGTCCCTGAAGATTGATGCCAGCTTACACAGGACCCTTTGAAAATTGGGAGATGCTCCCTTACTTTGAGAGCAACTGGATCCTGCTGCATCCCCAGCTGGAGTCTCCTCCTTCTCCAGCAAAGCATCCAGATCAGAAAGAGGAAGCCTTTGCAATATTCTCATTGGTTGCATGTGCTTCTCCCTCGCAATAAAAGCAAATTAAAAAGCCACATTGCCTCTGCTTCTGATTTTTAGCTCACATTTCTCCTAATTCTGCAATGCAGTATTCTAAGCTTGTATCACGTATATATATAATAATGCGTATAGTTGGTGAATGTGGGCATGAATATGGCAATAATCATAAGTATAATAACAACAATTGTTACTATTTATACTATTTATCTGACTGGGTTGTCTCAGCCATTCTGCCCCAGCATCCTATTAACGAATATTGCTTCGCAAAAATATGCATCTTATGCAAAATTTTATACAAACATGCAGCAGAGAAAGGCATCAGGGACGGAAGGAAGGAAGGAAGGAAGGAAGGAAGGAAGGAAGGAAGGAAGGAAGGAAGGAAGGAAAGAAAATGTTTCCCTTTGGTGGATGCATTTCACTTATTTATTTATTTATTTATTTAAAAAGAGGAGATCTCGCAGGTCTCCCTGTTCATTGTGTGGTACTCTGCTGGAAGTCCTATATTTTTAACATGAACAACAAGGTGAACATTAACGCGTTACTGTCCTTATGGTAGCATAAGCCAACCTCCCTCATCCTAGTGGCTTGCGTTAGCCGGATCCTCAGTGAATCTATTTAGTACTTCTTTATTTAAACAATTTCATTAAAAAATACAGCAAGCTGCTATACAATTTACAAAATTGCAGCTGCTTTGATGAAAGCAAAATTGCAGTCACTATTGACGAAAGCATCAATCAATCTGCATGCCCTCCAAGGGCTGCTATTTTCCAGGGACAGCCCCGGATTTACAAAAGCCATCCCGGTTTCCGATTTGATCCCAGAATATCCTGTTTTTCCTTAGGAGGTCTCTCTTTTTATCATAGAAATGTGGGAGGGTATGGAGTTACGCAGGTGGCGCTGTGGCGCAAACAGAAAGTGTCAGATGCTGGTGGTGGTTGCTCGTGAGTAACCAGGCAGGACTCCGACCTGGCTTTTACAGATTTTATTGCGCAAATTATTTACAGTGCAGATCTACCAAGTTCATGTCCGTCTCATTCATTTTAAGAATCCGGGAGTGGCCCCTTCTGGCTTCTCCCCCAATGTTAGAACTGCGGCACCCCAAGCCTCCTCCTCCCCTCCTTGCGTTTCACCCCTCTGCGCAAGCTGGGCAACGAAAGTGGTGTGCGTCCCTCCTGGCCAGCCTGGAGAGGTGAGGCACTGGGGCTCTCAGCAGCATCCTTGAGCCCTTTCCTCGCTTGGCTGGCCCTTTCCCTCTCTTCTCCACTGGAGGTGTGACTTTTCCCACCGCTGAAAAAGGAACTGCTCCTCAGGAGTTTCGGAGGCTCTCTGTATCCCAGTGGCCCCCCTGCCTCCCTCTCCTGTTCCGATGGCAGTCCCCTGACAGAAAGCAAGATTAGTAAGTGTGGATGATAAACACACACACACAGCCCAACACTGGATACCAGTGGCTGCAATCCACAGATGGCTGGGGGGGGGGGCTCTTGTGCTCAAATCCTGATTGCTAGTGTCCCAAAGGCATCATGTTGGCCACTTTGGGAACTGAATGCTGGACTGGATGGAGCCCTGGCCTGATCCATAGAATCATAGAATCATAGAGTTGGAAGAGACCACAAGGGCCATCGAGTCCAACCCCCTGCCAAGCAGGAAACACCATCAGAGCACTCCTGACATATGGTTGTCAAGCCTCTGCTTAAAGACCTCCAAAGAAGGAGACTCCACCACACTCCTTGGCAGCAAATTCCACCGTCAAACAGCTCTTACTGTCAGGAAGTTCTTCCTAATGTTTAGGTGGAATCTTCTTTCTTGTAGTTTGGATCCATTGCTCCTTGTCCGCTTCTCTGGAGCAGCAGAAAACAACCTTTCTCCCTCCTCTATGTGACATCCTTTTATATGTTTGAACATGGCTATCATATCACCCCTTAACCTCCTCTTCTCCAGGCTAAACATGCCCAGCTCCCTTAGCCGTTCCTCATAAGGCATCGTTTCCAGGCCTTTGACCATTTTGGTTGCCCTCCTCTGGACACGGTCCAGTTTGTCAGTGTCCTTCTTGAACTGTGGTGCCCAGAACTGGACACAGTACTCCAGGTGAGGTCTGACCAGAGCAGAATACAGTGGCACTATTACTTCTCTTGATCTAGATGCTATACTCCTATTGATGCAGCCCAGAATTGCATTGGCTTTTTTAGCTGCCGCGTCACACTGTTGGCTCATGTCAAGTTTGTGGTCAACCAAGACTCCTAGATCCTTTTCACATGTACTGCTCTCAAGCCAGGTGTCCCCATCTTGTATTTGTGCCTCTCATTTTTTTGCCCAAGTGCAATACTTTACATTTCTCCCTGTTAAAATTCATCTTGTTTGTTTTTGCCCAGTTCTCTAATCTGTCAAGGTCGTTTTGAAGTGTGATCCTGTCCTCTGGGGTGTTAGCTCCCCTCCCAGTTTGGTGTCATCTGCAAATTTGATCAGGATGCCCTTGAGTCCATCATCCAAGTCGTTGATAAAGATGTTGAATAAGACCGGGCCCAAGACAGAACCCTGTGGCACCCCACTAGTCACTCTTCTCCAGGATGAAGAGGAACCGTTGATGAGCACCCTTTGGGTTCGGTCAGTCAGCCAGTTACAAATCCACTGAGTGGTAGCATAGTCAAGACCGCATTTTACCAGCTTCTTTACAAGAATATCATGGGGCACCTTGTCAAATGCCTTGCTGAAATCAAGGTAGGCTACATCCACTGCGTTCCCTTCATCTACCAGGCTTATAATTCTGTCAAAAACGAGATCAGGTTAGTCTGACATGACTTATTTTTCAGAAATCCATGCTGACTATTGGTGATCACAGCATTCCTTTCTAGGTGCTCACAGACTGTTTGCTTAATGATCTGCTCCAGAATCTTCCCTGGTATTGATGTCAGACTGACTGGGCGGTAATTATTTGGGTCCTCTCTTTTCCCTTTTTGAAAATAGGGACAACATTTGCCCTCCTCCAGTCTGCCGGGACTTCGCCTGTTCTCCAGGAATTCTCAAAGATGACTGCCAGTGGTTCTGAGATCACATCTGCCAGTTCTTTTAATACTCTTGGATGCAGTTCATCTGGCCCTGGAGACTTGAATACATCCAAACTAGCCAAGTATTCTTGTACTATCTCCTTAGTTATTCTGGGCTGTGTTTCCTCTGCTGAATCATTTGCTCCAAATTCTTCAGGTCGGGCAGTGTTTTCTTTATCGGAGAAGACTGAGGCAAAGAAGGCATTGAGGAGTTCAGCCCTTTCTGTGTCCCCTGTTTGCAATTTCACCATCTTCTCCTCTGAGTGACCCCACTGTTTCTTTGTCCTTTTGCTACGGACATACCCATAAAAGCCTTTTTTGTTGCTTTTAACCTCTCTAGCAAGCCTGAGTTCATTCTGTGCTTTAGCTTTTCTGATTTTGTGTCTACATGTGCTGGCTATTTGTTTGAATTCCTCTTTTGTGGAATCATGAACTCCCTTTCCTTTTAGTATTATTGTCCATGGGATCTCACCCAGCACTTCCCTAAGTTTTATGAAGTCGGCTTTCTTAAAGTCAAGAAATTGAGTCCTAGTATGCTTGGCTGCTCCTTTCCACTGTATAGTAAACTTCAGAAGAGCATGATCACTCGCGCCTAATGATCCTTCCACTTCTACCCCACTAACCAGGTCATCAACATTGGTTAGGACCAGATCTAAAATGGCTGTTCCTCTTGTTGCTTCTCCCACTTTCTGGACAATGAAGTTGTCTGCAAGGCCAGTGAGGAATCTGTTTGACTTTATGCTCTTGACTGAGTTTGACATCCAACAAATATCCGGGTAATTGAAGTCCCCCATTACTACTATCTCCCTTCCTTTTGCATGCTTGGCCATCTGTTCCAGGAAGGCATCATCTATGTCCTCCTTTTGGCTTGGGGATCTATAGTAAACTCCCACAATGAGGTCTCTGTTATTCTTCTCTCCCTTAATTTTGACCCAAATGCTCTCACTTTGGCTTTGAGGTTCTAAATCTTGGATCTCTTCACAGGTATACACATCCCTGACATATAACGCCACTCCTCCTCCTTTCTTGTCTGGTCTGTTTCTCTGAAATAGATTGTATCCCTCCATTATTACATTCCAATCGTGGGACTTATCCCACCAGGTTTCAGCGATGCCTATTATGTCATATTTAGTTTGCTGTACCAAGAGCTCAAGCTCATCTTGTTTATTTCCCATGATCTCACATTGTTTATTTCCCATGTAATAGATTCTTATATAATAGTAATATGTTGTAACCAGAATAGAAGTTTAAAAGGGAAAGTAAATGTGCTTTTAGTATTTTCATTATTGTAATAGTTATTATTGAGGGACGCGGGTGGCGCTGTGGGTTGAAACCACAGAGCCTAGTACTTGCCAAGCAGAAGGTTTGCGGTTCAAATCCCCGTGACGGGGTGAGCTCCCATTGCTCGGTTCCTGCTCCTGCCAACCTAGCAGTTTGAAAGCATGTCAAAGTGCAAGTATATAAATAGGTACTGCTCTGGCGGGAAGGTAAATGGCGTTTCTGTGCGCTGCTCTGGTTCGCCAGAAGCGGCTTAGTCATGCTGGCCACTTGACCCGGAAGCTGTATGCCGGCTCCCTCGGCCAATAAAGCAAGATGAGCACTGCAACCCCAGAGTCAGTTACGACTGGACCTAATGGTCAGGAGTCCCTTTGTTGTTGTTTAGTCGTTTAGTCGTGTCCGACTCTTCGTGACCCCACGGACCAGAGCACGCCAGGCACTCCTGTCTTCCACTGCCTCCCGCAGTTTGGTCAAACTCATGCTGGTAGCTTTGAGAACACTGTCCAACCATCTCGTCCTCTGTTGTCCCCTTCTCCTTGTGCCCTCCATCTTTCCCAACATCAGGGTCTTTTCCAGGGAGTCTTCTCTTCTCATGAGGTGGCCAAAGTATTGGAGCCTCAGCTTCAGGATCTGTCCTTCCAGTGAGCACTCAGGGCTGATTTCCTTCAGAATGGAGAGGTTTGATCTTCTTGCAGTCCATGGCACTCTCAAGAGTGCCATAATTCAAAAGCATCAATTCTTCGGCGACCAGCCTTCTTTATGGTCCAGCTCACTCTTCCATACATCACTACTGGGAAAACCAGAGCTTTTACTATACGGACCATTGTTGGCAAGGTGATGTCTCTACTTTTTAAGATGCTGTCTAGGTTTGTCATTGCTTTTCTCCCAAGAAGCAGGCGTCTTTTTATTTCGTGGCTGCTGTCACCAATAAAAGTTTTATTATCCCTTTACCTTTATCTAATAGTTATTATTATTTCTTATTGGTAGAAGGCAATGTTAATTTAGGCTTCTTTGTTTTGCTGTCTGTATAATTTTTTTTTTTTTTTTAGCCAATAAAAGAAGAAGAAGAAGATGACTCTTGGGCACCTTCCAACTCTTCCGTTCTATGATTCTATGATCTCAGGATTCCAGTAAAAACCAGTGAAGATCCCACAAGGCTGAAGTTGGCCCATACCTTCTCTAGATGTTCTGACCTCCATCTGGTGCTTCTGAAGGGGGCTTGACATCAATGAATGGCTTTCTGGGAGGAAGGGGTTCCTGCTTCTTTCCATTCAATTCTCTTTCCCTTTTTCCTGACATTCTGTCACAACCAGCTGCCTGGCCTAGGGGGGCCGTGAATTACATGGAAGAATGTGGTTGGTTGGCAGCTCATTCCAAAAGACATGCACAGAGGGATTTTAAAACCAGGCCCATTTATTACAGAGATGATAAGCAATGCATAAAAGAGGAACATTGTTTGGAGGGCAAGAGATGAATTAATAAAGACAACAACAAAAATGCAAACTCTATAGGTCAAAGCAAGAGAAAGCAATTGTCATCTTTAATGGTGATTTCTACCCAATAATGCCAGTAAGACAGGGCTAAATGTATGTCCTTTCCCACCCCCCACCTCAAAAAAAGCAATGAACTGCTCTGTCAATATTTCACTGATTAAAAAAAAAGGAAGTTTCTTCCATTCTGTCAGTATTTTCTAGGAGGGACTGATTTTGTAAACCACTTTGATTTTTTCTGCACTCAATTTAAAAATAATTAAGTGTATATAGAAACTTTAGGTTTGCACATTGGTTTGCACTCAATTAAGAAATAATTAAGTGAATATAGAAACTTTAGGTTTGCACATTGAAAGTGGGCTAAAACACATTATTGCACTAGTTTAACAAGTCCACTATAAGGGAAACCCACAATTTTTAGGACAGTGACTGCAGGAAAATCCAAATGAACGGAGGATGAATGCTCACGGTTGTATAACCTCCCAGAGAACAAATTATGACTAATGCTCAATAAAGGCTGCATAAAATGCCCCTCCAGAAATCATTTTTATTGTGTTCAGGGGGGCAGGAGAACCCTAGAAGAGCAAGGGGTCAGAAGAAGAGGAGAGGGGCATTTTTTTCCAACCAGTTGATTGCATGTCTTCCCATTAATCATATGTTTTGTACATGTTCCCATCACTTTCCTAACAGCAAAAAGTTCAGGGTTGGAATTCAATCTTGTACTCTTCCAACCGTTCTGTTTGAGTGGGTTGCCCCAGACACATATATAAACATAATAAAACCTTAAACAGTTAAAAAACCAACAACTTTCCTATGCAGATCTGCCTTCAGGTGTCTTCAAAAGTTTGTAGAGTTACTTATCTCCTTAGCTTGGGGGTTGCGTAATTCCATACACTCCCACATTTCTATGATAAAAAGAGAGACCTCCTAAGGAAAAGCAGGACATTCTGGGATCAAATCAGAAACCAGGACGGCTTTTGTAAATCCGGGGCTGTCCCTGGAAAATAGCAGCCCTTGGAGGACATGCAGATTGATTGATGCTTTCGTCAATAGTGACTGCAATTTTGCTTTCATCAAAGCGGCTGCAATTTTGTAAATTGTATAGCAGCTTGCTGTATTTTTTAATGAAATTTTTAAATAAAGAAGTAATAAATAGATTCACTGAGGATCCGGCTAACGCAAGCCACTAGGATGAGGGAGGTTGGCTTATGCTATCATAAAGACAGTAAGTCATTTTGGACTCACAGCTGTCCATGGAGGCGCAGGTCAATTCTGTATCCAGGGCAGTTGTCTACCAGCTCCATCTGGTACGCAGGCTGAGACCCTCCCTGCCAGCAGACTGTCTCGCCAGAGTGGTGCATGCTCTGGTTATCTCATGCTTAGACTACTGCAATGCGCTCTACGTGGGGCTACCTTTGAAGGTGACCCGGAAAATACAACTAATCCAGAATGTGGCAGCTAGACTGGTGACCGGGACTGGCTGCCGAGACCATATAACACCGGTCTTGAAAGACCTACATTGGCTCCCAGCACATTTCCGAGCACAATTGAAAGTGTTGGTGTTGACCTTTAAAGCCCTAAACGGCCTCAGCCTAGTAGACCTGAAGGAGCGTCTCTGTCCCTATTGTTCTGCCTGGACTCTGAGTTCCAGTGCCGAGGGCCTTCTGGCGGTTCCCTCATTGCGAGAAGCAAAGCTACAGGGAACCAGTCGGAGGGCCTTCTCAGTAGTGGTGCCCGCCCTGTGGAACACCCTCCCATTAGATGTCAAAGAGATAAACAACTACCTAACATTTAGAAGACATCTGAAGGCAGCCCTGTTCAGAGAAGTTTTAATGTATTTTAAATCTTTGTTGGAAGCTGCCCAGACTGGGCGGGGTACAAATTATTATTATTATTATTATTATTATTATTATTATTATTATTATTATCAAAAATAATAATGTTCACCTTGTTGTTCAGGTTAAAAATATAGGACTTACAACAGAGTACCACACAATGAACAGGGAGACCTGCGAGATCTCCTCTTTAAAAAATAAAAAATAACTGAAATGCATCCACCAAAGGGAAACGTTTTCCTTCCTTCCTTCCTACCTTCCTTCCTTCCTTCCTTCCGTCCCTGATGCCTTTCTCTGCTGCATGTTTGTATAAAATTTTGCATAAGATGCATATTTTTGCGAAGCAATATTCGTTAATAGGATGCTGGGGCAGAATGGCTGAGACAACCCAGTCAGATAAATAGTATAAATAGTAACAATTGTTGTTATTATACTTATGATTATTGCCATATTCATGCCCACATTCACCAACTATATGCATTATTATATATATACGTGATATAAGCTTAGAATACTGCATTGCAGAATTAGGAGAAATGTGAGCTAAAAATCAGAAGCAGAGGCAATGTGGCTTTTTAATTTGCTTTTATTGTGAGGGAGAAGCACATACAATCAATGATAATATTGCAAAGGCTTCCTCTTTCTGATCTGGAAGCTTTGCTGGAGAAGGAGGAGACTCCAGCTGGGGATGTAGCAGGATCCAGTTGCTCTCAAAGTAAGGGAGCATCTCCCAATTTTCAAAGGCTCCTGTGTAAGCTGGCATCAATCTTCAGGGACTTAAAAACAAACAAACAATAACAAGAGCAAAAAAACCCCAGTTACTTCCATATCACCTGGAATCTGATGTCAAAATTACAATCATAGAAAGGAAGGCTGAGGAACTCGGAAGAATGTTAAACGATAGAAGAGGGAATTGATGAGCCAAAACAAGTTAGACTAAGAATGCAACAGCATAGGTCCCAGATCATTTTGATGCTGAACAATAGCATTACAAAAGTGAGCTGAACTGAAAGAAGAAACTGAAGGATGTGGACAACGTAAGTAGGTAAAATAAAATATGCATCATAGGTCTAAAGGATGATGTAGAAACAAGATTTAGGACATAATATACAAATGGAAGACTGGGGAAAATTATGGAAAGCGAACTTAACATTTGCTGATTGTATATTGTTGAAAGAGAATTACAGTGGTACCTCGGGTTACATACGCTTCAGGTTACAGACTCCACTAACCCAGAAATAGTGCTTCAGGTTAAGAACTTTGCTTCAGAATGAGAACAGAAATTGTGCTCTAGCGGCACAGCAGCAGCAAGAGGCCCCATTAGCTAAAGTGGTGCTTCAGGTTAAGAACAGTTTCGGGTTAAGAACAGACCTCCAGAACGAATTAAGTACTTAACCCGAGGTACCACTGTATATGAAAATGATGTACAGATGGTATATCACTGCTGTAAAAATGGCTAAAATGTATAGAACAGGCTCCAATAAGTTTCAGAAGTGTAATAAAAGGAAGGCACATTTATTCATATGTGGTGGAACTGTAAAATAACCAAAAACTTTGGGGAAATGATTTATAACCAAATGAAAAAAATGTTTAAGATAACATCTGTTAAAAAACCAGAAGCTTTCTTGCTAGGCATTACAGGTCAAGACTTGCCAAAAGAGTGGAAGATGCGATTCGTGTACGTTACAACAATGGCTAGGATTTTACCAGCCCAGAAATGGAAAGATGAGAAGATACCAACTAAAGAAGAGTGGCAAGAAAAACTGATGGAATATGCTGGCGAAGTTGACTGGGAAACTTAGAGATAAAGGCAATACAGACTGGGAATCATTTATGCTCTGCCTACAGAAAAACTGCAAAGAAGTGGACTCGCTAGCAGGGTTTGATTTAACACTTACAATTAATAACATAGAAATTAAGATGTACAAATTGGAAAATAATAAAGTGTAAGTGGAAATATGAAAATAAGTATGGTATGAAAATGTTAAGAATATAATAATATTTAAGTTCATCTCCGGCACCTTGTTTGAGCTCTTTTACCTCTTGCAACATATCTTTTCATGTTGCACATTCCATCTTGAATCATTCCTTTGGGACACTTGTTAGATTGGCAAGTGCTGCCTCTCTTATAGCAATCTGGTCCAAGATTTGGGTCTTCCTTGGCAAATCCTTTGCAAAAGGAGAAACAAAAGAGATCCCTGTCCATTGCAAATTCAGAAGTGGAGGTAAGGGAAGGGAAACTTTAGAATGGGAAACATTATGTTGGATATGCAAAAAGATACAGGATCATATTTCTGTATGTGGTGGAATTGCGAGGTGATCTGTGAATTTTGGAACAACATTTACAGTGAATTAAAAAAAACTATTCAAATTTACATTTCTAAAAAAAACCCAGAAATTTTTCTATTATGAATACTACCAATTGAAATAATAATAATAATAATAATAATAATAATAATAATAATAGTAATAGTAATAATAAAGACCATTGTTTATGTACGCAGTTACGGCAGCCAGAATAACAGTGGCAAGAAATTGGAAAAATGAAACCTTACCAACGATCACAGAGTGCCAAATTCTTAAGATAGAATACCTGCAACTAGAAAAATTGACTGGAAAACTTAGAGGAATGTCAAACCAAAAGGTATTTAGGGAATGGGAAATATATAAAGAATACTTGAAAACTTACTGCACGAACAATAAGATACTTGCAGAAATAGAGTGATACTGACAACCAAGAATTATTCAAAATGTAATAGTGGATTATATGTCTATATACAAAATAAAATAATATAAATCTGTACAAGGGATACAGATAACATAAGTAGTAAAGGTGAAGGGTAAAGGGACCCCTGACCATTAGGTCCAGTCGTGACCGACTCTGGGGTTGCGGCAGTCATCTTTCTTTATTGGCCGGCATACAGCTTCCGGGTCATGTGGCCAGCATGACTAAGCTGCTTCTGGTGAACCAGAGAAGTGCACAGAAATGCTGTTTACCTTCCTGCCGGAGCTGTACCTATTTATCTACTTGCACTTTGACATGCTTTCGAACTGCTAGGTGGGCAGGAGCTGGGACCGAGCAACGGGAGCTCACCCCGTTGTGGGGATTCAAACCGGCAAGTCCTAGGCTCTGTGGTTTAACCCACAGTGCCACCAGCGTCCCTACATAAGTAGTATAATGAGAATTATTGGAAGTTTTAATCTTTTAATTTGTGGGCATTTCCGTGCACTCTGGCACTTGTCACGGTGTTGCGTTGTGCCAGAAGCGGTTTAGTTATGCTGGCCACATGACCCGGAAAGCTGTCTGTGGACAAACACCGGCTCCCTCGGCCTGAAAGCGAGATAAGCACCACAACCCCATAGTCGCCTTTGACTGGACTTAACTGTCCAGGGGTCCTTTGAAGGCAGCCCTGTTTAGGGAAGCTTTTAATGTTTAATAGATTATTGTATTTTAGTGTTCTGTTGGCAGCTGCCCAGAGTGGCTGGGGAAACCCAGCCAAATGGGCAGGGTATAAATAAATAAATTATTATTATTATTATTATTATTATTATTATTATTATGTCGTGCAAGTTATCTCATCCACCCTGTGAGCAACACATAATCTAGCATTTGAGCATCCCCAACAGATGCTCATCCCCAATGGAGAATGGAGCCCACCTCCATTCAACTGAAATCTACACTCCTGTAGCTCAAGCCATTCAGAGCTATCCTTGCCATCTGAAGTGGATGGCGTTTACCACCTGTTTTTATTTGTTTCTTTGTTCCCAATGTTAATGTTTTAACTTTTTTTGGAAACGAATCAGAGACTTTGCACAATTAAATTAAATTTAGAAAGACCTATGGGGACGCTGGGTGGCGCTGTGGGTTAAACCACAGAGCCTAGGACTTGCTGATCTAAAGGTCGGCGGTTCGAATCCCAGCGGTGGGGTGAGCTCCCGTCGTTCGGTCCCAGCTCCTGCCAACCTAGCAGTTCGAAAGCACCCCTAAGTGCAAGTGGATAAATAGGGACCTCTTTCTAGTGGGAAGGTAAACAGTGTTTCCGTGTGTGGCGCTGGTGCTGGCTCGCCAGATGCAGCTTCGTCACGCTGGCCACGTGACCCGGAAGTGTCTTTGGACAGCGCCGACTCCCAGCCTCTTGAGCGAGATGAGCGCGCAACCCTAGAGTCGGTCACGACTGGCCCTGATGGGCAGGGGTACCTTTACCTTTACTAGAAAGAACTAGGAAAGAGCAAAATGTCTGCAAGCTCCTCTCTGGGAGCTGGTGTGTATGTATGGTCCCAGAAATCCAAAATCTGTGACCTGTCAATCATGACTAAATGTGTATCTTTACGCATAAATCAGCACATGCACATTTCCTGCAAACCTATGTCCTCTTTTGCCCTTTTTCCTGGTCAGGCTTCATTGTTATGTTAGCTTTTCCTACGCAGAACATAAGCGGAACAGCATTCGCCCTCCTTCCTCTCCATCCCTTACCTGAAGCAGTCAGCAGCAGCAAAGACAGGACAGCCCAGAACAGGTGAAGGATCTTCATGGCTCAGTGAGGATGGATGGATGCAGAAAGGCTCAATGCAGGGCTACAAGGGTGAAGGTTGTCAGGGTTGGAAGGGCTGAGCTTCCCATATTTGTAGGATCCTTGGGAAGCTGTTTCCTCCCACTTCCTTGAGAAGTCTAGCAAGTTGTCACCATGCCCTGAAGGAAGTGTTGATTTAAAGCAGAGTCTGTCGTGCCCAGCGGAAGGATGAAGAATACGTGCTACATACTCTATATTGCTTTATTTACAGTTCAAAGCTGGTATATTACAGAAAGACATCTTGTCTCTGCCGGAGCAGAAAAATGCATCCTCTCTCCTCCACAGCTCGGAGAGAATCACACAGTGAAAAAAACAGGAAACCAGTGTACGTCACATCCAGTCTCCCTTTCCCGTGAGAAACTCCAACAGTACAGACTGTGGAATGTAAAACAATGTCTTGTGACTGCAGTTGCTGCTCAGTGAGGGAAATAGAAACCAACATCCTCCCCTTTCTGTGAACATCACTGGGCAGCGTGTTCGTACAGTATCAGTACAAACCCAACTTCTGCACATAGGTACAGTGTTGATCCCTTGATACAATCTTGGACAATACATCAGCAGGAATTTCATTACCTGGCATATAGGACACCGTTACGAGTCCCTTCTGAATACATTCCCTAGCATGCTGCAACTTTAATTGCAAGTGCTTTGTGCTTTGCTTACAACCTTCAGACTTCAGCAAAGCCAAACATGCTTTGTTGTCCTGGTAAACCTGGATTGGACATTTGACAGGAATTTTCATATCTTTGCACAATTGTACTAACCATTCACAATCCTTAAGTGAATAAGACAGTGCATTCAGTTCGGCTTCACAAGTACTTAAGCTAACTGTTGTTTGCTTCTTGCATGACCAATCAAACAGACTCTGATTGTACATGTAGCAAACTCCAGACGTACTTTTCCTGTCTGTAGCGTCACTTCCAAAACTTGCATCTGCAAATATCTCAAGACCACCAGACTTCTGATTGTTAAATCTCAGTCTGTAATGCATAGTGCCTTTCAAATACCGCGCTATGCGTTTCAGAGCTTTCCAATCCTTGACACTAGGATTGTTGACTTGTCTGCTTAGCAAATTACAGCTAACAGCAATGTCTGGTCTTGAACATCTGGCAATGAAGTTTAGCTTGCCTAGCACACTCCTGTACAGTGTAGTGTCAGAAAATGCTTCTTCAGTGTCATCTACCTGATAACCTGTTGTCATCGGTGTGTCTACAGGGTTAGCATCCATCAGATTTAGTTTGCTTAACACATCAGCAATTTTCCGTGACTGGTGTACTAGAATGTTACCATCTTGATCTCTCTCATTTCCAGAGATAGGTAGTTGTTTACCTCACCAAGATCTTTCATGTCAAAGTGCTCTTTCAGTTGAGCTAGGGCGCTATTGTACATTGCAACATCTTTCCAAAAGAATAATAAATCATCAACATAAAACAAACAGTACAGTTTCTTTTGCCCCTCCTCTTGACAAATACACATGGATCAGCTTTCCTTGCTGAAAACCTAGAGAAAACAATACTTCAGTGAGTTTTGTGTGCCAACACCGTGCACTTTGTTTGAGACCATAAAGGGATTTCTTCAGAGCACAAACAAATCCCTGTTTTACCTGTACGCCATCAGGTGGAAGCATATAAAGTGATTCATCTAGAGATCCGTACAGAAAAGCTGTATTAATATCATGGTGACTAATGTGTAGATTTTCCTCTGCAGCTAGCTTGAGCATAAGCCTAATGCTTTCATATCTCACTGTGGGTGAATAGGTCTCGTGATAGTCTTCACCTGGTACCTGTGCAAAACCTCTGGCTACCAATCTGGCTTTGTGTCTGACTATCTTGCCATTTTGATCTGTCTTCGCTTTGAAGACCCATTTGCTTCCAAGCAGTTTCATTCCTGGAACTACTGGAACTAGCTCCCATGTTTTGTTCCTTTCTAAGGAATCAAGCTCAGCCTTCATGGCATTTAACCATGGCTCAGCTTCCTTCGAATCCAAACCCTGGATTTCTTGGAAACTTGAAGGTTCAAATACCTTCTTGGAGCTTTTAACAGCTGTTACTGCTATCTTAGCAAACTCATCAGCAAATCTCTTTGGAGGTTTGCCTTTGTGGCTCTCTGTGACCTACGAATTAGCCTTAAGTCTTCAACACTCTCCTCTTCCTTCTTAGGAGAAAAACGACCTATTGTGAACAATGGTTCCTCCAATTCTTGATCAGAGCTTTCAGAGGGTCGCATAGAGGCTTTCGCACTCTTGAAATCCTCTGAATCACCCGATTCAGTTTCAGATTCAGACTCAGAACCTTCATCAGTGGGTGTGGGCTGTTGTGGTTGCTTTTGACTATCCTCAGTCTCATCACCGTCATCAGGATAACATTGGAAAATTCCCACATTCTCCCCCACTTTGCATTGTACTCGACACTTCTCGTGAGCTTAATTGTCTTAGAGTCAGTCATCATTATTCTGTAAGACCCTTTCTGATAACCTAGAAAGATACCATGCAATCCACGCTTGTCTAACTTGGAGTTTTGTGGTGAGCGAACCCACATGTCAGAACCAAAATCTTCATGTGTTTGATGTATGGCTTCTGCCAAACATCTTCTCATAGGGGGTACATCCAATCGCTGAAGATAACCTGCGATTGTAACTGTAAACAAAACACGAGAGAGATTCGGCCCAATAACTCTCTGGAAGATTGGCATCATGCAGCAAGGTTTTTAATCCTTGAAGCAATGTCTGATTTGCCTGCTCCGCAAGTCCATTCTGCCATGGCGAGCGAGGACTAGACAAATCGTGTTGAATTCCTTTCTCAGTCAGAAAAGCTTCAAACTGCTGAGAAGTGAATTCCCCCGCGATCACTGAAAAGAGTCTTTATCTTCTTACCATGCACATTTTCCAACCAAGCACAGAATTCCTTGAACCTAGGAAAAGCCTCCGATTTCTGCTTGAGATTGTACACAAAAATATATCTAGAAAATGCATCAATGAGAACCATGAAGTATCTATTTCCACCCAAAGAGGGCGCAAGTGGACCAACCAAATCAGCATGAACAACCTGGTATGGTTCTGTAGCTTTCCTACTAGACACCTTACCTTTCGCAGCCATTTTCACCTTGTTTGCTGCGCATGCTTTGCACTTCATGTGGTACCTGCAGGGTTTAATAGTCATACCTTCAACCAAGGCAGGCATTTTAGATACTGCCTCAAAATGCAAATGACCAAATTTGCGATGAAAATCGTGAATACATTCTGCATGCAAACTTTTGTTAGAACCTGCAATGCAACAAGTGTCATCCTGCACCACATCATCATAATACAAAACAAACAAACGATCAACATATTCTGCATGCAATACATAATCATTTTTCTTTGTGATGATGCACTTCTTGTTCTTGAAGGAAACGTCAATGTTCCGCTCATTCAGCTGTCCAACGCTGAGCAGATTATGTTTGGCGTCTGGCACGTAAAGCACATTCTGTATCGATAAGTCCAAACTGTGAAGAACAACAGTTCCGTAGCCTTTACTGGGAATAGTGTGGTCATCCGCCTGGTGAATCGCACCTTCCTGCGGTGTAAAAGACACAAACAGTTTCTTATCGTTGCACATGTGGTGGGTGGCCGCTGAATCAACAACGAAGAAAGATCTAGACGTCTTCTGGACCTCTGCAACCTTTGGAGTGAAGCGTGAAACCATAGCCTTGTGCTGCGTTGTCCTAGACACCGGACCTTTGCCTTTGCCTCGGCCTTTTCCGCGCGATGACCTATCGCATCGCTGCTCTGTCTTTGCCCAGGGAAGTCTGCATTCCCACATCATATGGCCTAAACGTCCACATGAGTAGCATTTCACTGCCTACAAAGCTTTGGCGCCATCTGGTGGTTCCACTGAACAATGGGATGACGTCTGTGAAGACTCTCCTTGCCCATGCAGCTAGCACCCCGGCGATCTGCTTCATTTAAAATCACGGCAGTAACAAAGTCCACTGTCAGCTGAGCAGTTGGTTGCACAGCAATCTGGGTTGCAACAGACTCCCAACCTGAACCCAAAGATTGTAGTATCATGAAAGAATACACAGCCTCTGGAAAGTTGAGTCCTCTCTGTTGCAGCTCATGTCTCAGATTTTGCATCTGCATCAGATGTAAACGCACATCTCCACCTTCAGCAAGAGCCATATTATGCAGCTTGTTAAAATAAAACATAGTGGATCCAGCTTCTGTCCTTAAGTGAGCCTCTCTCAGAGCGTCCCAAACTTCTCTGGCTGAGGTCTTATCACGCAATAGACAGAGCTCTTCTGGGGATACTATCAATGTAAGAGTTCCCTTGCTTTGGAATCCTTAGCTTCCCATGCATCTGTAACTGGAACTGGGGGGGTGCCTGTAATCACCTCAAACAAACCCTCTTCCGCAGAATTGCCTCTGCATACTGAACCCAGTCGCTGTAATTTGTCTTGTTGAGCTTAGGAATCCCACAAGCATCCTGAAGGGCCATCATGACTCTGGCATTAGCCTTCAGCGTCATATGCTGCTTTAAATCTTGCTGCGTCACTGCTGCAGCTGCCTCATTACAAAGGCACACTTAAAAGTTACTTTCGATTTCCCAGCATAGTGACTTGTGCCTGGGAGCCTTTTGCCTATTCCCGGCAAAACCGGCTTTAAAAGTTCAAAGTCCAGCCATAAAGCCATTATCTTGAAGCTGGCAGGCTGCCCGGAGCAGTAGCACATACCTCATCAATCACTTCTACGCGCAGAGCAGATTCCTTTCCGATCCGTCCCTCTGCATTCCGATCCTTTGCCGGCACTCCGATTCGACCTCTGGAGTCCATAACCACGTGTTGATTTAAAGCAGAGTCTGTCGTGCCCAGCGGAAGGATGAAGAATACGTGCTACATACTCTATATTGCTTTATTTACAGTTCAAAGCTGGTATATTACAGAAAGACATCTTGTCTCTGCCGGAGCAGAAAAATGCATCCTCTCTCCTCCACAGCTCGGAGAGAATCACACAGTGAAAAAACAGGAAACCAGTGTACGTCACATCCAGTCTCCCTTTCCCGTGAGAAACTCCAACAGTACAGACTGTGGAATGTAAAACAATGTCTTGTGACTGCAGTTGCTGCTCAGTGAGGGAAATAGAAACCAACAGGAAGATGGGGCTGCAAACCCAACCCTAAGCACAGTGTCTTTCTTGAAATGATATGGAGAGATGCAGAGATTAGATGTTTTGGCCTGTGGTAAGACCTAGAGGGTGCAAAACCAGGAAAAAGCACCCAGCCAAGTCACTGAGTACATCCTGGTAGATCCATGGCTGATTTATTGACTCCCAATTGTTTAACAAGGCAGCAGAAAGTCTCTGTCCGCCCTGCCGCTCCTTCCATTCTATATTATATGCCTAAAACAAAGGAAGGCTTGTTGGGTCATCAGGGATGGAAGGACCATGAGCCCCATTCAGCTTGGCACTGAAAACAAATTCTTGGGCTTGGGCTATGTCCACACAGGTGGCCTGAAATGCAGCAAAATTCCCTTCCCGTGTGCTTTAAGACCATAAGAAAACCTGCCACTCAGGCCAATGATCTACAGTCATACCTCGGGTTACGAACGCTGTGGGTTGCGTGTTTTCGGGTTGTGGATCGCACCGAACCCAGAAGTACCGGAATGGGTTACCTCTGGGTTTCTGCACTTATGCATGTGCAGAAGCGCAAAATGATGTCATGCACATGCGCAGAAGAGCCGGATCGTGTCATGCGCATGCGCAGATGCAGCACTTCAGGCTACGAACGTTGTGGGTTGCAAACATGCCTCCCGCACAGATCACGTTCGCAACCGGAGGTATGACTGTATGTCTTTGTGGTTTTTATATTGTAATTTTACATTGTGAACAGCCCTGCATCAAAGAATCGAAGAGTTGGAAGGGATGATGAGGATCATCTAGTCCAACCCCCCGCAATGCAGGAATATGCATACAGGGATTGAACCTGCTCACTTTATCCATGCTGTCCTCCAAGACCAAGCTCTCCAGTTCACCCGTCCATGGCTGGGAGGTGTCTGGCACTGGCATGCAAACACTTGAATACTGTCATAGAATTGTAGATTTGGAAGGGACCAGGAGGAGCATCGAGTCCAACACCATCCAATGGGGGCTCAAACCCAAGACCCTGAGATTAAGAGCCTCATGCTCTACCAATTGTCTTCAAGTGTAGGTTGGGATTATTAAAAGGGGGTCCCTGGAGTGAAGACATAGAAGGCCACTGGGAAAGCAAAGGCTCAGAATAATGCATTAGGCTATTTGGGAGAGTTAAAAATGGAGGCCCCATGGACTGCAAGAAGATCAAACCTCTCCATTCTGAAGGAAATCAGCCCTGGGTGCTCACTGAAAGGACAGATCCTGAAGCTGAGGCTCCAATACTTTGGCCACCTCATGAGAAGAGAAGAATCCCTGGAAAAGACCCTGATGCTGGGAAAGATGGAGGGCACAAGGAGAAGGGGAGGACAGAGGATGAGATGGTTGGACAGTGTTCTCGAAGCTACCAGCATGAGTTTGACCAAGCTGTGGGAGGCAGTGGAAGACAGGAGTGCCTGGCGTGCTCTGGTCCAGGGGGTCATGAAGAGTCGGACATGACTGAACAACAACAAAAATAGAGGATGTTTTGCAGGGGAGGAGGGAAAATAGGTGTCCTTCCTTGGGCTACGTTCTACACATGACTTAAAGGTAGGTGGGGAGAGAGTGCCCATTCTCTCTGCAGAACCACAACTTGCCATTATTCATAGAATTATGGACACAGAGAGGCAACAGGACTGCTTGAGGTCCCCTGATTACATAATTGAAGAACACAAGAGAGATGTTGCTGTCCCAGCAGCATACCTCCATTTCCTCGTATCCAAAAATGTAAGAAGGGCCTTTAACTCTTGCCAGAAGTTCGGCTCTGCCCTCGCCGGTTCTGGAAGGATCTTTTGGAAAATTCCAGAACTCTCAGAGACTTTGCGCCTGCCCGTTAGGGGAAATAGGAAGCCCTGAACACTTATTTTTTAGATGTCCCTTTTACAATGAGGCACGTAGAGATACCATCGACCCCCATCTGGTGAGGCTTGCTGACCTTCCGGACAAGCCTAAACTCATTTTTCTTCTCTTAGGCAAAAATTACAAGATGACTCGGATGGTCGCCAGATTCAGTACACAGATTTGTAGGCGTAGAACACCCCCCCCCCCCAGGAGCAAATCGATCTCTAGGAAAACTGCCGTAGTCGGCCTCCTGGGTGTCCCAGGGGCAATCTGCATGTTAGTTTAACCTTAGGTCTTTTTGTGTTCATGCAACTATTTTAATTTTAATCTATGAGCTGTTATTGTATATTGTTTTAAATGTCTATTTCACTCTTGTGAAAGCAGTCTCAGTTGTGCTTCTGAACTGGTCTTTGACCGTAATAATATATTATTATTACAGTCATACCTCATGTTACGTTTGCTTCAGGTTGCGCATTTTCAGGTTGCGTCCCCTGGCGACCTGGAAGTACAGGAAAGGGTTACTTCTTGGTTTGGCTGCTCGCACATGCGCAGACATGAAAAATGACGTCGCAGGCATGCACAGAAGCTGCGAATCACGACCCGCGACCCTCCGGAATGGATCCCATTCGCAACCAGAAGTACCACTGTATTATTATTGTCTTCAGTTGGGCACTCATGTCTTCAGTCTTCAGTTGGGCACTCATGTTTTGACTTGTTGTACATTGGCCTGCTACACCTGTGCCCCTGCACTCACAATGCATAGTTCTGTGGCACCTCCATATTGATTTTTATAGGTTTTGTGATCTACATGCCAGGTTCCAAAGCAGAGCCTCCCCAGCTCCCACCTTCAATCAGTTTTAAAGCTTTTTTGTTATAAGCACCAGCAGTCTATTTCCATTCTGTTTGAAGGGACCAAAGGTGGACACACAACCCCAGAAAGAGCACAACATGCCTGTCGCCTACCAGAGGTACCACCTCTCCCCTAACACCCCATCCATCCAATGTATTTACAAGTCTGTCAATCAAGATGCCTGACAACACCTGATAAATGCCCACCCTGGGACATTCTTTGAAATGGTGAATACCTTGACTCCAGGATGCATTATCAAGGGCATGTTTCATTCATACATAGATATCTGCTCTTTTAACAAGTCTGCTCAGATAGTTCATCCATACTTGCTAAACCAGTTTCATAGAAAGGAGGCCAGGAAGAATTTCCTGCTGTGTGAATGGAGGGGCTTCTGGGCTCCATTAACAGCTAAACATGGCTTTGATCTTGCTGGCCATACTATTTCAGACATGTGGTTTCAGACATGGGCATTTCCCTTGTGCACTTATGGAAGTGCATGCATTTAAGACGCCTTAGATTTCTTAAACCATAATCCCAGCTCTAACCACAGTGTAACCAGCTGAACTATTGGCATTATTTAGAACTTCGAACCCCGATAATGGAAAATTGGCAACCAGTGCATCTCTGAACAGTGTAACATGTTGTCCCTAGTAGCTGATCCTGTTTGCAGTCTGACTCCTGCTTTCTGCACTAGTATCAAATACCAGTTTTATCAACTCTGCCTGAGTCTCCAGGTTTCTAAGTTTAGCCTCATGCAAAAACCAAAAGATAACCCGTGGTGGTTATAGTATAGTTAGCAGATTTTTTTCAATGAATCCGGGGACACTTTCTTTCTTTTTCTTTTTTCTTTTGAAGCCGAGTAGCAACAGGGAGTCAGTAGTGGTGATGGTGAGGCAAAAGACCCTGGGCCAAAGCACACATGCATATTTTATAAAAGTGCAAAGCCCTTCTTTCGCACCCTGTGAAACATAAACGCTCTGAGTTTTTAAAAAGCTGGGCAATGGCTGCCCGCCCGCGGCTCCTGAGACTCCCTCGATCTCCTGCCCCCTTTCGCCTTTGTTTTGACTGATCAGGGGAGGCTTGGGATTCGCAGGAGAGCAGCCATTGCCCAGTTTTTTAAAAACTTGGAGCATTTATGTTTCACAGGGTGCGAAAGAATGGCTTTGCTCCTTGCCTGGCAGGGAAACCGTGCGCCTTGCACCCCTCCTGGGTAACGGCCACCTGCCCGCAACTCCTGAGCCTCCCCCGATCTGTCAAAACAAAGGGGGAAGGGCGCAGGAGATCTGTACCACCAGATGTCCCTGGTGTCCCCTTGTCAGTGGCAGTGGTGGTGGCAGCAAGCAGCTCCTGAAGCCACCCAGAGCCAACTGCGCTACCAGGCTGGCTCCGGGCTGCTGAGGCTGCTGCTGCCACATTTCCCGGGGACAGATTTGCAATTCTGGGGACATTCTAGTTCATTATCCTCATTGTGGCTCAACGGAATGTTTTGGGGGGACCCTTTCGCCTTCTAGCATTCTTTCTTAAGATCTGCTTTGCTTCTGCACAACCATGCTGGTCTCATGAGTAAAGGTAAAGGTAAAGGGACCACTGACCATTAGGTCCAGTCGTGGCCATCTCTGGGGTTGCGGCGCTCATCTCGCTTTATTGGCCGAGGGAGCCGGAGTACAGCTTCCAGGTCATGTGGCCACCATGACTAAACCTCTTCTGGTGAACCAGAGCAGTGCACGGAAACACCATTTACCTTCCTGCCAGAGCGGTACCTATTTATCTACTTGCAGTTTGACCTGCTTTCGAACTGTTAGGTTGGCAGGATGAGGGACCAAGCAACGGGAGCTCACCCCGTCGCGGGGATTCGAACCGCCGACCTTCTGATCGGCAAGTCCTAGGCTCTGTGGTTTAACCCACAGTGCCACCCACGGCTCATGAGTGCAAGGTGCTATTTTTGCTGCATAAGCAAGGACTCATACCTGAAAACTGGAAAGAGAGGGAACGGGGTTTTTTAATTTGCTTTTATTCATAGAATCATAGAGTTGGAAGAGACCACAAGGGCCATCGAGTCCAACCCCCTGCCAAGCAGGAAACACCATCAGAGCACTCCTGACATATGGTTGTCAAGCCTCTGCTTAAAGACCTCCAAAGAAGGAGACTCCACCACACTCCTTGGCAGCAAATTCCACTGTCGAACAGCTCTTACTGTCAGGAAGTTCTTCCTAATGTTTAGGTGGAATCTTCTTTCTTGTAGTTTGGATCCATTGCTCCGTGTCCGCTTCTCTGGAGCAGCAGAAAACAACCTTTCTCCCTCCTCTATGTGACATCCTTTTCTATATTTGAACATGGCTATCATATCACCCCTTAACCTCCTCTTCTCCAGGCTAAACATGCCCAGCTCCCTTAGCCGTTCCTCATAAGGCATCGTTTCCAGGCCTTTGACCATTTTGGTTGCCCTCCTCTGGACACGTTCCAGTTTGTCAGTGTCCTTCTTGAACTGTGGTGCCCAGAACTGGACACAGTACTTCAGGTGAGGTCTGACCAGAGCAGAATACAGTGGCACTATTACTTCCCTTGATCTAGATGCTATACTCCTATTGATGCAGCCCAGAATTGCATTGGCTTTTTTAGCTGCCGCGTCACACTGTTGGCTCATGTCAAGTTTGTGGTCAACCAAGACTCCTAGATCCTTTTCACATGTACTGCTCTCAAGCCAGGTGTCCCCCATCTTGTATTTGTGCCTCACTCTTTTTTTGCCCAAGTGCAATAGTTTACATTTCTTCCTCTTAAAGTTCATCTTGTTTGTTTTGGCCCAGTTCTCTAATCTGTCAAGGTCGTTTTGAAGTGTGATCCTGTCCTCTGGGGTGTTAGCCACCCCACCCCCCCAGTTTGGTGTCATCTGCAAATTTGATCAGGATGCCCTTGAGTCCATCATCCAAGTCGTTGATAAAGATGTTGAATAAGACCGGGCCCAAGACAGAACCCTGTGGCACCCCACTAGTCACTCTTCTCCAGGATGAAGAGGAACCATTGATGAGCACCCTTTGGGTTCGGTCAGTCAGCCAGTTACAAATCCACTGAGTGGTAGCATAGTCAAGACCGCATTTTACCAGCTTCTTTACAAGAATATCATAGGGCACCTTGTCAAATGCCTTGCTGAAATCAAGGTAGGCTACATTCACTGTGTTCCCTTCATCTACCAGGCTTGTAATTCTGTCAAAAAACAAGATCAGGTTAGTCTGACATGACTTATTTTTCAGAAATCCATGCTGACTATTGGTGATCACAGCATTCCTTTCTAGGTGCTCACAGACTGTTTGCTTAATGATCTGCTCCAGAATCTTCCCTGGTATTGATGTCAGACTGACTGGGCGGTAATTATTTGGGTCCTCTCTTTTCCCCTTTTTGAAAATAGGGACAACATTTGCCCTCCTCCAGTCTGCCGGGACTTCGCCTGTTCTCCAGGAATTCTCAAAGATGACTGCCAGTGGTTCTGCCAGTTCTTTTAATACTCTTGGATGCAGTTCATCTGGCCCTGGAGACTTGAATACATCTAAACTAGCCAAGTATTCTTGTACTATCTCCTTAGTTATTCTGGGCTGTGTTTCCTTTGCTGAATCATTTGCTCCAAATTCTTCAGGTCGGGCATTGTTTTCTTTATCGGAGAAGACTGAGGCAAAGAAGGCATTGAGGAGTTCAGCCCTTTCTGTGTCCCCTGTTTGCATTTCACCATCTTCTCCTCTGAGTGACCCCACTGTTTCTTTGTTCTTCCTTTTGCTACGAACATACCCATAAAAGTATGCAAGCCTAGCAAGCCTGAGTTCATTCTGTGCTTTAGCTTTTCTGACTTTGTGTCTACACGTGCTGGCTATTTGTTTGAATTCCTCTTTGGTGGTTTCCCCCCTTTTCCATTTTTTGTACACATTCTTTTTTAATCTTAACTCAGTTAAAAGTTCTTTAGATAGCCACCCTGGCTTCTTTAGGCACCTTCCATGTTTCCGTCTCATTGGTATTGCCTGACGTTGTGCTTTTACTATCTCCCTCTTAACAAACTCCCAGCCATCATGAACTCCCTTTCCTTTTAGTATTACTGTCCATGGGATCTCACCCAGCACTTCCCTAAGTTTTATGAAGTCGGCTTTCTTAAAGTCAAGAAATTGAATCTTAGTATGCTTGGCTGCTCCTTTCCGCTGTATAGTAAACTTCAGAAGAGCATGATCACTCGCGCCTAATGATCCTTCCACTTCTACCCCACTAACCAGGTCATCAACATTGGTTAGGACCAGATCTAAAATGGCTGTTCCTCTTGTTGCTTCTCCCACTTTCTGGACAATGAAGTTGTCTGCAAGGCCAGTGAGGAATCTGTTTGACCTTATGCTCTTGGCTGAGTTTGACATCCAACAAATATCCGGGTAATTGAAGTCCCCCATTACTACTATCTCCCTTCCTTTTGCATGCTTGGCCATCTGTTCCAGGAAGGCATCATCTCCAGCAGGCTCTTTTGATGTTCTTCACACAGGTGGGAGGGGCAGTGATGACCTCACTGCATTTCAGGCCACTAATGTGTGCGTAGCCCAAGCCCAGGGATTTCTTTTCAGTGCCAGAACTGTGAATGGGCTCATTGTCCTTCCACACAAAACCTCACTCCTGGTTACCCTCCAAGCTTTCGTTATCTATCATCTAGATCGGAAAGAGCAGGGAGGATAGAGACTTTTTGTTGCCCTGTTAAACAATTGAGAGACAGCTCAAACTATTGCAAATCATCCATAAATCTACCAATAGGTACTCAATGTCTCAGGTGGCTGCTTTTTCCTGGTTCTGCATCCTCCAGGTCTTGCCACAGGCCTGAACTTCATCATCTCTCCATCTCATTCTAGGGGGCACACTGTGCTTATGACTTGGCTAGAAGCCCCACGTTCCTTTAGGGCATGGTGATGTCTTGCTGGAGATTGCAGAGTAGTGGGAGGAAACAGCTTCCCAAGGGGCTACAAATACGGAAAGTTCATCCCTCCTAATCCTGACAACATTCTGCCTTGTAGCCATGCGTTGAGCCTCTCTGCATCCTCTCATCCTCCCTAAGCCATGAAGATACTTCACCTGTTCTGGGCTGCCCTGTGTGTGCTGCTGCTGGCTTTTTCAGGTAAGGGATGAAGAGAAAGAAGGGAGAAGGAGACTTCTGTTCAGCTCGGGTTCTGTCTAGTATATACAGTGGACGCTCGGGTTGTGAACGTGATCCATGCTGGAAGCACATTCGCAACCCGCAGCATTCGCTACCCGTAGCGTTGTGTCTGCGCATGCGCGGGTTGTGATTTGGCACTTCTGCGCATGCGCAAAGCACGATTTAGCGCCTCTGTGCATGCGCAAGCACCAAAACCCAGAAGTGACCCATTCTGGTACTTCTAGGTTCGGCGCAGTGTGCAACCCGAAATTGCGCAACCCGAAGCATCTGTAACCCTAGGTATGACTGTATATTCAAATGTTTTGAGAGAAGCTCACAAATTTTAACCCAGCAGCACTGGGAGACTGTTTAAGAAGAGGCAGACTGGGATTTTGCAAACTCACAGCAAGTTTGCAATATTGGAGCTGTGTACATCTAAGTAGCAAGGGAATTCTGTGGCATCTAGCCCTGCTTCACACTTCATGGTAAACCAGATTTTGGCTTCCTGAGACTATGCACACACACCAGCTCCTAGAGAGGAGTTTCCACCCTAGTCCTTTCATTTCTTTCATTTCCTTTTGCAATGTTCACATGCTACTCTAAACCCTGTAATTCAGTGGTTTTCAATCAGTGTGCCATAGCACCTTGAATGATGGTCAGGGGTGCCTTGGGCAACATTGGCCTCTGTCCCTTTTTCCTTCCCTCCCTCCTCTGATGCCCTCTTGTGTCTCTGCCTCCCAAAGGCCTGCACAGCTGTTTGTTGCAGCAGCCCTGGCTACAAGCTCCCCAGGTGAATGGTGCCTCTGGGGCTGACCAGGGGTTGCTTCCCGGGCCCCTGTGGGGCAGTGGGAGAATGCCCTTCTCTTGGGGGCAGCAGCTGGAGCTGCCTAGAGCACTCCCAAGGAGAGGGGAGAAGAGACAGAGGGAACACTCCACAAGAGAGGGTTTGAAAAGGGGTATGGGGCTGCCAGCTCCGCAGGTAAGGGGTGACATATCTGGGCTCCTGATCCCCACAGGGGTTCCATGAAAGAATGTAGTTGGTCAAGGGAGCCGTGGACCCATAAAGGTTGAAAACTTCTCCTCTAATTGGTTTGCACACAAAAAAACCCAACCCAACAATGAGGGATTTTTTATTTCAAATCTCCCCCCCCCCAAAAAAAAGACCAAACTATAAATGTTGACTCAAGAAATACCAATTGAGTGGTTCCAGTTTCACCAGGTTGTGGATATTCTCTATGATTTTATGGTCCATATGCATGCCAAGCACACCTTTACTCCGGGAGAGGATGTATTTTTTAAAATAGGGCCCTCCAGGAAAGAATTTAAAGCAGCTATGTAAAAAGCCTTAGTCAATATTAAGTTAGGAGATTTGACCAGTTTGAAATCTACATGGAAGAAGGAGAATATTGATGAAGGAAAATGGGAGTGGGGCTATGGAGAGTGCCTCCTTTTAAGACGGTATTTGTTCAGACACATGAATTGGCTTTAAAAATGCGTTTGACAAGGTATCGTGCTCCTATCAAGGTTTCTGTGTCACTTCCAGCTCCTCTGCTTTGTGCTGGAGGAGATACGGGAACAAGGGTACTTATTTCCACATGTGGTTGGAGTGCCCACTGGGGCTGCCATTTTGCCTAAAGTTTTTCACTGAAATAAAGAAGATTATCGGGGATCAGGTTCAGTTCTCAAACAGATTGGTTTTTGCTGTCTTTACTCCTAGATCTAGTTTGCTTAAATTACAACAAAAAGGTAGACTCCCTGCTCCTGTTCTACAGTCTGTGAACCTTTGCCTCCCTTTCCTCCTATTCTGAATTTACTCTCCGCTTCCCTGTGGACAATGATTTTCTCTCCCCCCTCCCTTTCTACAGGATTTGCCAAGGAAAGACCAGAGGGCAGCAAGGATTGCGATAACACGAGTGGTGGTTGCACCCACAATGCTTAAGATTGGAAGTTGTGGAAATGTGAAGGGATGTTGCAAAAGGTAATGTCGGCTTCCCCCCCCCCCAAAAAAACCCCCCAAACATAATCTCACACACAGCCTGTTCCACTCCCAAAGCCCCTAGACTTAGTATGTCAAGGTTCCGCTGAGTTTGGGGACTTCAGTCTGGCCTCCGGTACCAATAATGCATCGTTTACTAATGATTTGTCTCCCATGAAACAAAATGGGGCTTACATATTCCTAAGGAAACACATTTCTTCTTTCCATTACTCTGAATTCAAGTATGAGTATTCATGTTGACCTCCTTCTGCCCTTCCTGGTCTTTATAAGTTAATAACTTACTTGAGCAGTAATTGGCCACCTTGGATTTCGGCTGAGGGACCTGCTGAACACAGAAAGCACTTTATATCACATATAACTCAGGTCACATTTTGTGCAGGGGAGAATCACTTAAGACAGTTTGTAAGATGCTTGCTAGACTTAACCATACATTTCTTTACAGGCTTACAACATTTCATACAGTATGTCTATTTGTGTGCATTCTTGTAAGATTCATTGCTTGCAGATATCGAAGGCTTTCCATGGGACAGCGTCCATAATACGATAAGAGGGTGAAATGACTTGTAGTGTAATCCTGTACAAGCCCACATGGGTAGCATGTAGCTGCAATTCTATACCTAGTGTATTTCCATTTATTTAGTGCTTTTGTGAAACCAACGACAATTCCATAAATAGAAACAATGCATATATGTTTTAAAGGAAACTCCCATATACATTGAAGTCCTCAGCTCATTAGCATATCCATTAATAAAAAAAGAAAGATGTCATTCTCTGTGTTTCCATAACAACAGAACTGGTTGCGGGAAGGTGCAATTCAATTTTCATCCCTGGGTTTCTGCATATTCCTCCCATCACTAATTCCTTTGATGATGAATTCTAAAAAAAACCCTCATGTGAATATCTCTTGAGTGTTTCTTCTTTTGTACATTCTCAAAGCTGACCTCGTTATTGGAATATGTCATTTGTTCATTAGAATGTGACAGAACAGCCCTAGGCATATCTACTCAGAAGTAAGCCTCACTGAGTTTAATAGGACTTAGTTCCAAGTATGTGAAACATTCTGGCCTGAGTTCATTATGGGAAATGAATGTTCCGAAGAATCACCTAAATTCTTCCTTCTTCCTTTTCTTTTAGATCTATAATGCTAGCTATATTTTACCTGCTTATATTATGGACATATAATATTTTATTATATTCCTTTTTTCCATTAAGTGAGTTTTCATTTGTTGCTGTTGTTCAGTGCCAAGCTGAGCTAGATCCTAAATAAAGATGTAAAACCATGACAGGATATTCATTCTTGTCTACAAGGTCCCCCCCCCCTTTCCCCTTCAATTTCATAGTTTTCTGAGTGCTGCTGAAACAGAAGTAACTCTTGTAATTTTCGCTTGATTTTTAGGCAAACTCAAGAACTGATCACTGCTTGATTACCCAGGATCCCTTAAAAAAATCAGAGGTGTCCCCTCACTATGAGAGTCACTGGATCCTGTTTGATGTCCAGCTAGAGTCTCCTTCTTCTTCAACCACATCAAAACAAGTCCTTCTAACATTTTCAGTGATTACCGTATTTTTCGCTCCATAGGGCGCACCTGACCATAGGGCGCACCTAGTTTTTAGAGGAGGAAAATACGAAAAAAAATATTCTGTTAGGATATTTCCGTTCCACCTTAAAAGGGAGCAGGCTTTGTGAGTCAGAGTCTGCGTATTTCCTGTTCACAGGATGTTTATGTTTTCTGTTGCTTTCGTTTTCTCTGTGTGTCGCAGACACTAAAGCAGTCAGTCATGTTTTTCTGTGTTCTGATCAACGCTGAATAAACTTGTAAATAATGCTCTCCTGACTGCAACTTTTGGCTGTGCATTATCTGCTGATAGAGTGTGCATGAGCTCTAGAATGTGGCAAGATATTTTCTAGAAACTCATGTCGCTGCGTGCCTACGGGAGGTCGATGGATCGTCCGGCAGACGGCTTGGGGGCCTTGATGGACTTTATCTCCCTGGCAGTATCCCAACAACAGGTTTCGGGCCCAGATTCACAGCACTTACAGGAGAGTAAGACTGCGACAGACTGCTGAAAGGTATGTGGAGGAAAAGCGAAAGTAAGGCTTTTCTGTTTGCCGCGGCAAAGTCTCTTTGATGTCCGGCAGGCCTAATTGGATCTGGGAGCCGCGCCAAAGGCCTCAAGATTTATGGCTGCCGAGATAAGACGTTTTGAAGGCATAAAGGCTCACGGCTCAAGTAGAAACCTGGAATGGAGTTTTTCCAGGCTTCTGAGGCTGCTGAGTGCCCAAAGTTAAATCGGCACAACTATCAGACCTGGGCAAAATGGTGTGAGAGCTTGCTGCGTCAGTTTGGAGTGTGGCATACTGTGTGGGAGGCCCCTCCAGTTCCTCTGACAGATAGATGGAAGGCCGAAAATTCGAAGGCGATAGACGTAATCGTCTTGTCCGTCTCTCTGGAGGAAATAAAGACGCTTGCTGGCAATATGACTGCACGTAAGATGTGGCATGCTTTGAAGATAGCCCATTTGCCAGTCATCCCAGCCCAGAGTTTGACTGCATCGGAGGTCCTGGCTGTTTCCCAGAATGCGAGTGAATGCAGGGATGCCGAGGGCACCGGTTGCAAGCTGCAGGGGAGCTGACTGTCACGTCATCCCAGGCAGCATTCCAGCCTCCAGGGGGAGCCAAGGAGTCGGCAGCTGAGAACTCTGTTTCTCGTGGGAGCCAAGGTCATCGCCTTTGCAGAGGCCGGAAGGGCAAAGGTAAACAGATGCAGACGCCTGCAGATGGCCAGAAGCAGAGGGAGGGTGAAGAGCCCACGCCAGAGGAAAACAAGGCATTGTTTGCTGGCACAACTTCACCAAAGGCTAAAGGCAAGTCTGATGGCCAGGAGCAGGGGGGCAAGCTGCAAAAGCCCACGCCAGTGGAAAACAAGGTTTTGTTTGCTGGCACAGCCTCACCAAAGGCTAAAGGCAAGTCTGATGGCCAGGAGCAGGGGGCAAGCTGCAAAGCTCACGCCGGTGGAAAACAAGGTTTTGCTTGCTGCAAAGACTGCTCCAAAGGCCAAGGCCAGGTTTGTTGTTGATTCAGGCTGTACCCGCCATGTCTCAAAAGACCGCCACCTATTTATCTCCTTCAAACCTCAAGAAGGTGAGATCCACCTGGCTGATGGAAAGACATTGCGAATTGCAGGAGAAGGGACTGTGAAACTGGCAAGTCTGCACACGACCATCAAAGATGTACTGTATGTTCCAGGCGCTGCAGACAATTTGCTCAGTGTCCCACAGCTGACTGGGCGTGGTTTTGAGATTTCCTTCAAGAGGAGCGTCTGTGTCATCAGAAAAGGCAAAGAGGACATTTTGCATGCAAAGTTTATGGATGGCTTGTTCTGTATAACTTATGACGACAATGGTGCTGTTGTGTCTAATGCTGATTCTTGTTGTGTTACACAAACTAACAAAGTTCTTCATGCAGGATGCATTCACGATGCACATCGAAGGTTTTGCCACCTCTCTTGGAAGGCACTGGCCAAGATGCCAGAGATGGTTGAGGGTTTGAACATCAAACCCTGTAGGTTTCACATGAAATGTGTATCTTGTGCAGAGAACAAGGTGAAGGTTGCTCCAAAAGGCAAGGAGTCTAGCAGGCAGGCTTCCAAACCCTACCAGCTAGTGCACGCAGACCTGGTTGGTCCACTTGCGCCCTCTTTGGGTGGAGCAAGGTACTTCATGGTTCTAATTGATTCTTTTTCCAGGTACATTCATGTGTTTATGCTCGAGCAGAAATCTCAAGCGTTTCCTAAGTTCAAGGCATTCTGTGCTTGGTTGGAGAATGTTCACGGTAAACGTATTGGCTGTCTGTTTACTGATCGAGGCGGGAGTTCACTTCTCAGCAGTTTGAAGCTTTCCTGACTGAGAAGGGAATCCAGCATGACTTGTCAACGCCTAGATCGCCATGGATGAATGGGCTTGCGGAGCGAGCAAATCAAACGTTGCTGCAAGGGATGAAAACATTGTTGCATGATGCCAATCTCCCTGATAAGTATTGGGGGGAGGCTCTGTCGAATTTTGCTTACACTTATAATCACAGATTGTCATCACCTATTGGTTGTACCCCCTATGAGAAGATGTTTGGTAAGAAACCCAACATCAAACACATGAGAATCTTTGGTTCTGACATGTGGGTACACACCCCACAGAGCAACAAGCTTGGGAAGCGTGGGGCACATGGTTTGTTCATGGGGTACGAAAAAGGTGCATACAGGGTATGGATGACTAACTCTAAGTCCATTAAGTTCACAAAGAGTGTTGAGTACAATCCTAAGTGGGGGGAAAATGTGGGAATTTTCCAGAGTTACCCAGAGGAGGATGAAGGTGATGTGAAAGAAGCAGCTAAAGCTGAGGAAGCTGCTGAGGATGATGATGATGATCAGAGTTTGGATTCCAGCTCAGTGGGCGGCGCTGCTGCTGATGTCGGTGACAGTGATGACACAGCAGACTACAAGAGCGCAAAGGCCTCAGTCAGACCATCTGATGCGTCTGACAATGAACTGGAAGAACCACTGTTCACCATTGGTCACTTTTCTCCTAAGAAAGAGGAGATGAGTCCAGAAGACTTGCGTCTAATACGCAGATCTGAAAGAGCCACCAAGGGCAGACCTCCAAAGAGATTTGCTGATGAGTTTGCTAAGACAGCAACTGCTGTTCTTAGTAACTCAGAGAAGGTGTGGGAACCTTCAAGCTTCAAAGAGGTTCAGGAGTTAACCTCTAAAGATGCTGAGCCTTGGCTTAATGCCATGAAGGCTGAAGTTGATTCCTTGAACAGGAACCAAACTTGGGAACTGGTACCGGTTGTCCCAGGAATGAGACTGGTTGGCAGCAAATGGGTCTTCAAGGCCAAGACAGACCAGAATGGCAAGGTAGTTAGACACAAAGCCAGATTGGTTGCCAGAGGTTTTTCACAGGTACCAGGACAGGATTACCACGAGACCTACTCACCCACAGTCAAATATGAGAGCATTCGGCTGATGCTCAAGATAGCTGCAGAGGAGAAACTGCATGTTTCCCATCATGACATTAATACAGCTTTTTGTACGGGATTCTGGGGAGGAGCTGTTTATGCTTCCACCTGATGAGATGCAGATACAGAAGGGAATGGTCTGTAAACTGCGGAAATCCTTATATGGTCTCAAGCAGAGTGCCAGGTGTTGGAACACGAAACTCACTGAGACGTTGCTTTCTCTAGGTTTTCACCAGGGCAAGGCTGATCCATGTGTGTTTGTCAAGGAGGAGGGGCATAACAAACTGTATTGTTTATGTTTTGTTGATGATCTTCTGATGTTTTGGAAGAATCAGGCTTTGTACCAAAGCACCCTAGCTCAACTGAAGGAGCACTTTGACATGAAGGATCTTGGTGAGGTATCCAACTATCTTTCTCTGCAGGTGGAGAGGGACCAAGCAGGTAATTTTCTGGTACACCAAACACAGAAAATTGCTGATGTATTAACCAGGTTGAATTTGGTTGATGCAAACCCAGCAGACACACCGATGGTGACAGGTTACCAGGTAGACAGTACTGCTGAAGCGTTTTCTGACACTACGCTGTACAGGTGCATTCTAGGCAAGTTGAATTTCATTGCTAGATGCTCAAGACCTGACATAGCTGTAAGCACTAACCTGCTTAGCAGACATGCTAACTATCCTACTGTTCGGGAGTGGAAAGCTCTGAAGCGCATAGCCCGCTATTTGAAAGGGACTATGCACTACAGGCTGAGGTTCACCAGTCAGAAGACTGGAGGTCTTGAAATCTTTGCAGATGCAAGTTTTGGAAGTGACACCATGGATGGTACGAGCACTTCTGGAGTATGCTACATGTACAACCACTGCCTGTTTGACTGGTTGTGCAAAAAGCAGACGACAGTGAGCCTAAGTTCCTATGAAGCAGAACTCAATGCTCTGTCATTTTCATTCATGGATTGTGAATGGTTGATGCAACTGTTTAAGGACATCGGAGTTTCTGTGAAATGTCCTGTACAAGTGTATCAAGACAATAGATCGTGTTTGGCTTTGTTGAACTCGGAGAGTTGCAAGCAAAGGACCAAGTACTTGCAGATTAAGCTACATCGTGCAAGAGAGTGTATTCAGAAAGGACTCATTCAGGTGTCCTATATGCCAGGAAATGAAATTCCTGCTGATCTGTTGTCTAAGGTTGTTAACAGAGAACAACTTAAGGTTTACGTACAAAGGTTGCAATTGGGTTGAACCACAGGTACTACAGGTTACACGGAAAGGGGGAGGATGTTAGGATATTTCCGTTCCACCTTAAAAGGGAGCAGGCTTTGTGAGTCAGAGTCTGCGTATTTCCTGTTCACAGGATGTTTATGTTTTCTGTTGCTTTCGTTTTCTCTGTGTGTCGCAGACACTAAAGCAGTCAGTCATGTTTTTCTGTGTTCTGATCAACACTGAATAAACTTGTAAATAATGCTCTCCTGACTGCAACTTTTGGCTGTGCATTATCTGCTGATAGAGTGTGCATGAGCTCTAGAATGTGGCAAGATATTTTCTAGAAACTCATGTCGCTGCGTGCCTACGGGAGGTCGATGGATCGTCCGGCAGACGGCTTGGGGGCCTTGATGGACTTTATCTCCCTGGCAGTATCCCAACAGTTTTTAGAGGAGGAAAATACGGAAAAAAATATTCTGAATCAAATGTTGCACTAAACTATTTAAAGCAGCAAAGCGGGTGGCTCCTGTCCGCTTTGCTGCTTTAAACTGAGCCTCAGAGGAGGGTAGGAAGGGGAACCATGGCTTATCTAAGTCCAGTTAATAATGCTGAGCCTGACTTATGGCCATCGAGATTAGCCTGGCCGTCTCAGTGGAAATCTGGGGAGGCTGGGGTGGACTTTCAGTGGTCCAAGTGTGGTTGTGTCTTCCTGCCCGGCATCTATTTCCTTTCCCTCCTGCACCTCCGCACCCTGCTTCGAGGGAAGGAAGCGGAGCCATGGATCCTCTGCTCGCAACTGCAGTGGATTCCCTCCACTTTGAAGCAGGAAAGTGGGAGAGGAGCTGCTTACATGAGTGTAAGCTGCTCCTCCCGCTTTGCTGCTTCAAAGGGAGCCCAGGAGGAGGGAATCTGCTGCAGCCGCAAGCAGTGGAGGATCCATGGTCCCCTTCCTTCCCTCCTCCGTAGTTGCTTCGAAGGAGGAAAGTGGGAGAGGAGCTGCTTACACGAGTGTAAGCTGCTCCCCTCCCACATTGCCGCTTCAAAGCAATCACGGAGGAGGGAATCCGCTGCAGCCTCTAGCAGTGGAGGATCCATGGTCCCCTTCCTTGCCTCCTCCGTAGTTGCTTCGAAGGAGGAAAGTGGGAGAGGAGCTGCTTACACGAGTGTAAGCTGCTCCCCTCCCGCTTTGCTGCTTCAAAGGGAGCCCAGGAGGAGGGAATCTGCTGCAGCCTCTAGCAATGGAGGATCCATGGTCCCCTTCCTTCCCTCCTCCGTAGTTGCTTTGAAGCAGGAAAGTGGGAGAGGAGCTGCTTACACGAGTGTAAGCTGCTCCCCTCCCACATTGCCGCTTCAAAGGGAGCCCGGGAGGAGGGAATCTGCTGCAGCTTCCCCCACCTCCCGCAGAAGCCGTGCGCTCTTTAAAGGGGCTGCGCGGCTTCTCCTGGCTTTTCTGGGAGGTGGGGGGATTCCCCCACCTCGTAGAAAAGCCTGCAGGAGCCGCACAGCCTTTAAAGAGGGCGCCGCTCTTGGGGGCTTTTCCCCCAGGAGGGAGAAGGGACTGATGCGGCCAGTCAGTCCCTTCTCCCTCCTGGAGAAAAGCCCGCAAGAGCGCACAAAGCTTGTGTGTGGCTCTTGAGGGCTTTTCCCGCCTGCCTCCCCCCTGCATTCGCTCCATAGGACGCACACACATTTTCCCTTGCTTTTTGGGAGGGAAAAAGTGCGTCCTATGGTGTGAAAAATACGGTATATGAGCTTGTCTCTTGGAATAAAAGCAAATTAAAAATCCCCATTCCATCTGTTACTGATTTTCAGTGTCATTGCTTATGAAGCCAGGATGGTACCTTATACTCATGAGAAGGAGGTGCCAGCATACATGGTTGTGCAGAAGCGCAAAATGTGTTTAGAAAAGAAGCCTAGAAAATGAGAGGGCCCACCAAAACAGTACAATAAGGACTGAGACGCAGAAGGAAGAATGAGCAAAAATGGGAAAGAGGGAATGAGAGGGAGAGAGAAGAGATTCGATTCAGTTCACATTTAAAAGTAAACCTACCAAATTCTCACTTTCTGAAGCAAGATGCGAGGCAAAGCACATCTTCCATTCAAAATCAGTGCTGCTTCGAATCTGGCGATTTGCTTCTCCAACCATGAGATGTATCAAAAGAAAACGCATATTCATGAACATGACCTACAAAAATGCATCACATTGAGGAATATTGAGACACCCCTCAAAAAACACCCTCCAGCTCAGGAGACCCCTCCCCTCCCGAAAATAATCCCCGCCCTCAAGTGGATTTTTCTCCTTCTGCAGCCGCTTTTCATCCCAGGAAAAGAGACGGAGGAGGAAGTGTCCCAGGCGAGGAATGAAACGCACCTGCGATCCTGGGGGGGGGGGCAGGTGTGGGGCGCATGTTGCTCAGGGGAGTGGCCCCTCCCTCTGGGACTCTTCCCATTACAAAGCAAGAGGGACCCCTGCCATCCTTTCCCTGTGTTTCCTGCCAGAAAACCAGTTTCTACGGGGCTCCCAGAACCACATGGAGGCAGGAGACCCCATTTCCCACCCCAGAGCAGGGCTGGACCAATCAGAAGCCTCTCCAGTGGACAGCTGGCCAATCCCCTTTCAGATTCCCCTGGGCCTCCTCCTTTCCTTCGCTGGTTTCCTGAGGGAGTTTTCCCCCTGAGTTTCCCTCATGGCTGCTCCCCCTCCCAGCTTATCCTTCATTTCTCCTTCCTTCTCTTCCTGTTCCTCTTTCCCCTCATTGTTTGGGGGCAGCTGGATTCCCCCCCCCCACCAGGCCCAGGCAGGCCGTTTAGGAGCCCAGAGAGGCGGCAGGGCCAGGAGAAGGCGTTTCCCGCCCTTTTCCAAAATAGGCGGGAACGCCATTTTGTTTCTTCCAGAGGCCCCAGGCGCTCCCAGAGACGCCATGGCTCCCCTGTGGGCCTCAGGGGTCCCACGCTCTCGGGGTCTCTCCTCCCGAATGAAGGAGGGCGGCACCTTTGGTCCTCCTTCCTGCCATGGCTCCCCTCAGGGGAGTTTGACCCCCGGAGCAGCATCCTTGGTCACCCCAAGAGTCAGCGCAAGCAGAAGAGCTCCACCTGCAGGCCATGGGGAAAAGGGTCTCAGGAGGCAGTGGGGGGACTCTAGGGAACTGGCTGAACTGGGGTCCTCCCAGTCCAGCCCAGACAAGAGAGGGAGCTCTCAGAAGAGGAAGCCATTGCGGAGAACCGGACTTGGCTGTTCTCTGCTGAGGATCTCCTGCCTTTCTTCCAAGGCTTCCTGGGGGTGCCATGGCCAGAGGAAGAGACAGGGCCCCCACCCTGAATCCCCTGCAGGGCCCTGGGGAGCAAGCAGAGCCTGCCTCAGATTCCTTCCCCAAGGCTTTGGGGGAACCTTGGGTGCGGAAGGAGGGACCCCAAATGGAGCTCAGACTCCTGGCAAGTGGGGAAAGGAACATGATATGGCACTTTCCAGATGAGTCTCAATACAATACGATAATCTTTATTGTCATTGTCCCATACAGAACAACGAAATTGAAAAAATGTACATCAGACATTCAAAAACCAACAAGCCTGCTATCCCAACCTGGTCAGCCCCCTAAAAACTCTGATACCCCATAATTAAAAGATCATTTCTGGGGTGCGCACTATCCTGCACTATCTCTGTAGCTTTTTTATATAGCACCAACTGCAAATGCCTGCAGGGCCATGAGTAGTATGCATGAAAACATCAATGCTAAATTGAGCAGATACCCTGAGGCAGCGCGGATTATTGTGGGGGACTTCACTCACACAGATGTGAGGGCAGTATTCCCAAAATCCCATCAGCACATTAAGTGTGCAATAAGGGGAGAAAATACTCTTGACAAGGTGTATACGAACATCAGCCGGGAATATGAGGTCACCTCGGTGGTTCAGATCATGTGTCCCTGCTTCTGACACCAGTGTACACACCCCTCAGGAAACAAGGCCAGCTACAAACACAGATGGTTACTCTGTGGCCTGAGGGAGCCTCTCAGCAGTTGCAGGACTGTTTCCAGGAGACCGATTGGAATATGTTCGACCATCAAGATCTAGAAACTTCTACATCAACGGTCCTGGATTATATTAGATTCGGCACAGGAAATGCACCAGGGAAAGGTATGTTAAGTTGTATCCGAATAGGAAGCCCTAGAATCATAGAATCATAGAATCAGAGTTGGAAGAGACCACAAGGGCCATCGAGTCCAACCCCCTGCCAAGCAGGAAACACCATCAGAGCACTCCTGACATATGGTTGTCAAGCCTCTGCTTAAAGACCTCCAAAGAAGGAGACTCCACCACACTCCTTGGCAGCAAATTCCACTGTCGAACAGCTCTTACTGTCAGGAAGTTCTTCCTAATGTTTAGGTGGAATCTTCTTTCTTGTAGTTTGGATCCATTGCTCCGTGTCCGCTTCTCTGGAGCAGCAGAAAACAACCTTTCTCCCTCCTCTATGTGACATCCCTGGATGACAGGAGAGGTTAGGAGATTCTTGAAGGCCAGAAACTCTGCTTTTAGAACTGGGGACTGGCTACCGTATGGTATAGAAAGAGCGAACTGGAAGAGGGGTATCAGGAAAGCAAAAGTGGGTAAGGAACCATATCATATCTTTTCTGCCAGTAGGACTTGACCCTTACCAGTTTGCGTACAAGGCAAAGAGATCTACGGAGGATGCTGTGGCAATGGCTTTACATCCTGTCCTGACTCATTTGGAGAAGAAAGGGAACTACATGAGATTGTTATTTGTAGACTTCAGTTCTGCATTTAATACTATTCTTCCACATAGATTGGTGCCCAAACTATTAGACCTGGGACTTCCACCGTGTTTGTGCAGGTGGATATTAAATTTTCTATCAAACCGTCCCCAATGGGTAAAGATGGGTTCCCGTGTCTCTGCGGATCTCATCATGAATATGGGGATGCCACAGGAGTGCATGTTGAGACCACTTTTATATACGCTCTATACAGCTGACTGTGCCCCCCAAAACTCCAGTAATAAGATCATTAAGTTTGCATATGAGACATGGCCACTGGTCCCATCACCTGGCAAATAGAAAGGGAAGAAATGGAGGCAGTGAGAGATTTGACTTTCTCGGGCTCCATGATCACTGCAGATGGTGACAGCAGCCACAAAATTAAAAGACGCCTGTTTCTTGGGAGAAAAGCAATGACAAACCTAGACAGCATCTTAAAAAGAGACATCACCTTGCCAACAAAGGTCTGTATAGTTCCCAGTAGTGATGTATGGAAGTGAGAGCTGGACCATAAAGAATTGCAGTCCCATGGACGGCAAGAAGATCAAACCTCTCCATTCTGAAGGAAATCAGCCCTGAGTGCTCACTGGAAGGACAGATCCTGAAGCTGAGGCTCCAAGACTTTGGCCACCTCATGAGAAGAGGACTCCCTGGAAAAAAACCCTGATGTTGGGAAAGATGGAGGGCACAAGGAGAAGGGGATGACAGAGGAGATTGTTGGATAGTGTTCTCAAAGCTACCAGAATGAGTTTGACAAAACTGCGGGAGGCAGTGGAAGACAGGACCTGGCATGCTCTGGTCCAGGGGGTCACAAAGAGGCGAACACGACTAAACGACTAAACAACATGATACAACGGTAGTTGGTTTAATCACGGCTGGAGAGGGGGAGGCGGCCTATAGGAAGGATGTTGAGCAGTTGGGGGAGTGGTGCAGGAAAAACAACTTACTCCTTAGCTTAAAGAAAACAAAAGAGATTATTGTGGACTTTAGGAAATGTAAATTGAATATTCAGCCACTCATTATTGAGGGGAAGTGTGCGGAACGTAGCACTTGGAATTGCCTCCAAGGTCCAGGGACTGATCCACCCTGGCTTCCACCTCGGAGGTCCCTTCAGAAGGAGAAGGGGTCCCAGGTCTCCATGGGGGAAAGCGGTCCTGAGGCCTGCATTCGAGGCCAATGCTTTCGCCTTTCAGGCTCCAGCCCACCTTCTCTCTGGTGTTTTTGTGAGCTGTAGGGATGGGATCACATGCAGACATTCCAAAGTTTAATAAGGATCCTTTGAAAAAGCTGAGAAACCTTTAGTCGAAAGTTCTTCTTTTGCCAATGAACTTTGCCTCTGCGTGATTTAAGGAGAACCAGATGCATCCACTCCAAAGAAGCTTCTGCAGCTCTGCTCTCCATGCAGACATGGAGCACCTTGGGACTGAAGACACAGAAAAAGAGACGGAGGGGAATGTGTGGGTAATAAGCTGGGAGTCATTGGAAAGGAGTCGCTGGGAGAGGCAGATGGTTGTGTTGAGCAGGCGAGGGAAGAGCAGGAGGGGACAGAAAGAGCCCCAGGGAAAGACGAATTTGGGCTGAGCTGGTGTGGGAATGAGTGGCAGAGAAAAATGCACAGCCAATAAAAGAGGATGCAAAGCAACTCCTGAAATGGTGAACAAGGCAAGCTATGATCTCGTTTGAGGAAAAGGAATTAAGATGCCTTCTTCCCCATCCCCAGTGGATTAAAATGTCCAAAGATTAGGAAAAGAAGAAAGAAGAGGAACCAGGATTGGAAGAACATTATAAGAGACCATAATTTTCCATTGTGACTTGGCTGAGATTTGTTGGAACAGTTTTTAAAAGGCTTTATAGAAACTGGACCTAGAAACCGGAGAAATACTAATTTGGATTATTACACGATCCTTATAAGAGTCATATTGCACTGTCTAAGTTGATTAAGATTTGAAAGCTGGGCTGGGGGGGAAATGAAGGGAAAGTGTCATCTTGGTGAAGAGGATAAGAAGAGTTTGGATTTAATATCCCGCTTTTTCACTACCCAAAGAAGTCTCAAAGCGGCTAACTTTCTCCTTTTCCTTCCCCACAACACTCTGTGAGGTGAGTGGGGCTGAGAGACTTCAGAGAAGTGTGACTAGCCCAAGGTCACCCAGCAGCTGCATGTGGAGGAGCGGAGACGCGAACCCGGTTCTCCAGATTACGAATCTATCGCTCTTAAGCACTACACCACTGTATACGAAATACAGCTGGGTTTATTCTGGATTGCAAATTATGAATAATCGTTGGTACAGATGATTTTCAGACGGAGATGGGAGTTTCCTTTTCGGTGCCTGCCCTGTGGAACACCCTCCCAGTAGATGGCAAAGGAAAAAACAACTACCAGACTTTAAGAAGACATCTGAAGGCAGCCTTGTTTAGGGAAGCTTTTAATATTTGATGGATTACTGTATTTTAATATTTTGTTGGAAGCTGCCCAGAGTGACTAGGGAAACCCAGCCAGATGGGAAGGGTATCAATAAATGATCATCATCATCTATTTTTTAGTATTTTTTATATTTTTAATATTTTATATTAAGATTCCTTTATTTTGAATTTAGGAGGACACACATACGAAGAGGACAGTTGGAGGTCCGAGGGACCTGCAAGGAACGCAGGGAAGGATGGATCTCTCTGGGTGGGATACGGGGAGAAGAGGGGGTCACGCAGGGGAGAAGTGGGGGAGCCTGCCTTTCTATGTGTTGACGAATGATATGATATATATGATACAAATGTCATAAACAGTATTTTTAGTTTATATCCCCCCCCTTTCTCTTTTCTATACAATTGTATTTTGTAAGGGTTGTTTAATATTTTTTCTTTTATTTCTCTTTTTTGGTTTCCCCCCTGTATGAATTCTGCGATGGCAAGTGAGATGGGAGCTATTAGTGAATCTCTTTCCACATTCCAAGCACTGATAGGGTTTCTCCCCTGTATGAATTTTGTGATGCAAAGTGAGATGGGCCCTCTGACTGAAGCTCTTTCCACATTCCAAGCAGTGATAGGGTTTCTCCCCTGTATGAATTCTGTGACAGGAAGTGAGATGGGATCTATTAGTGAAGCTCTTTCCACATTCCAAGCAGTGATAGGGTTTCTCCCCTGTATGAGTTTTTTGATGCAAAGTGAGCTGCGTCCACTTCCGGAAGTTCTTTCCACATTCAAAGCACTGATAGGGTTTCTCTCCTGTATGTATTCTTTGATGCGAAGTGAGACTATGACTCTGACTGAAGCTCTTTCCACACTGCAAGCACTGATAGGGTTTCTCCCCTGTATGGATTCTTTGATGGGAAGTGAGATTCACCTTCTGACTGAAGCTCTTTCCACATTCCAAGCAGTGATAGGGTTTCTCCCCTGTATGAATTCTTTGATGGAAAGTGAGATTCACCTTCTGACTGAAGCTCTTTCCACATTCCAAGCAGTGATACGGTTTCTGCCCTCTATGAACTCTTTGATGGGAAATGAGAGTGTCGTTCCGCCTGAATCTCTTCCCGCATTCGAAGCACTGATAGGGTTTCTCCCCTGTATGAGTTCTTTGATGCAAAGTGAGTTTGGACCCCTCCCCGAAGCTCTTCCCGCATTCGAAGCACTGATAGGGTTTTTCTCCTGTATGAATTCTTTGATGGGAAGTGAGACTGTGCCTGCGAATAAAGCTCTTCCCACATTCCAGGCAATGATAGGGTTTCTCCCCTGTATGAATTCTGCGATGGGAAGTGAGATGTGCACTTTGGCTAAAGCTCTTTCCACATTCCAAGCACTGATAGGGTTTCTCCCCAGTATGAATTCTGTGATGCAAAGTGAGCTTGGCCCTTTGACTGAAGTTCATTCCACATTCCAAGCACTGATAGGGTTTCTCCCTGTATGAATTCTGCGATGGGAAGTGAGATGGGAGCTATTAGTGAACCTCTTTCCACATGCCAAGCAGTGATAGGGTTTCTCCCCTGTATGAATTCTTTGGTGGGAAGTGAGATGTGCGCTTTGATTAAAGCTCTTCCCACATTCCAAGCACTGATAGGGTTTCTCCCCGGTATGAATTCTATGATGGGAAGTGAGATGTGCGCTTTGATTAAAGCTCTTCCCACATTCCCAGCACTGATAGGGTTTCTCCCTACTCTGTGTTCTTTCGTGTGAAGTAAGGCTATCCGTCTGAACAAAGCTCTTTCTTTGACGGGAGGTGGACTGGGAGCTCTGACGGATGTTCTCTCCACACTCTGAATATTTATATGACTTCTCCACTATGTGGATTCTGTTGTGCTCCCCCTTGTTCTTCCCTTCCAGTTCATCACCATCTGCAATGAAGAGAGAAGCGAATTAGAGCCTCAAGAAGAAATGGAGCTCCAGATCATTGAACAAAGTTAATGAATGCTTGTGATAGAGGAAGAACTAAAAATAGTTAGATGTGGGGCCTTTCTATAGTTTTCACTGCCTTTGTTGGCTGGTTGGTATTTACTGACATATTGCTTGGCTTTTATCTGGAATGGATCTTGCTCAATCCTGGAATCCACTCCATCTCCAAGGTCAGTCATCTCTTTGGTCAATCAAATGCAAACAGAAGCAAAAACAACAAGCCTGACAGAATTTACATCAACTTCCCTAAAAACTCTGAAGCCGGCATTTAAGAAGGCCTGGGTGGTTCAGAGAATCCTGGTCACTGTTTTAAAAGGCATGACTAGACGAAGAACATTCACAGAGGAAACAGTTGATATCCCTCCATTCTGGGTTCACGGTGGGAGATGTTAGAATCCCAGATGCTGTTGGTCTCCAGCCAAAGAGTTGAAGTTCATCACATACTGGTATGTATGGAACGTCCACACCTTGTCTGTGAAACAAACAGCAACATCTTCACCTGAACACTCCCCGTCAGCTGTTGCCTCAATCTGGTTGGTCTAAATTTAAATTTATACGTAAATCGCTTTCTTCTCTTTGAACCCCCCTCCCATGTCCATGAGGAGACCAACTCTGTATTGTTTCATTAGCAACAGAAGAGGAAAAGTGACTATAACTCAGTTCAAACCAATTCATGAAACCAGAACTAATACACCGACCACTAATGATGAACCGTATGTTAAAGATAATCCTGCAAAATTATTCTGCTATTTTTGATATGCAAATGGCATGCGAAGACTTAGTCTACATATTTGTACCATTTATTAGTCCTATGTTCCTTGTTTTTAAAAGCAAATAAAAAGTTATTCCAAAAGGAAAAAGACAACACACAGAGGCCCCATCTGCATTCAAACTGCAAAGCGGGATCAGTGAGTTGTCTGACGTTGGCAGGGCATTCAGATCACAGAACTGGTTTTAGACCTTTTGAGCTACGGTGGCCGGGAGCTGTGACCTATTCCTAGCTCAAATTGCCTGCAGATGACAAAGGAGCAGGCAGGCAGGTGGGGAGCCCAAAAGGTGCTCCCTTCTCCATCTCCATCCGCCTGCCTGCCTTCCCCACCCCCTAGCTGAGCAAGCCCCTATACCTCTCTGGCTCCATCCATCCAGGTCCCCATCGCCACTCTCCTGGAACTCACCAGATCTCTCGGAGGTCCCTGGGAGGGAACGCTCAGTGGTTGAGAGGAGGGATGCAGGAGACAACCTGACCAGGTCAACCGTCCATCTTCCCCTTCCATCCTCACTAGCTTTGAAGGATCTGTGTCTTTCATCCTTCCTGAGGAGTCAAGGAGCCAAAAGAAGCTGCAGGGTCCTGGGAGAGAGGAAGAAGCAAAGGCAGCCTCGGAGGCCCTGCAGGGATTTTCTGGCTGGAGGGGAAGCCTCCCAATATGTTGGGGGCCCCACCCACAGCAAAATCCCTGCTTTATCTCATTTCTGGCCAGAGAGCTTTCCCTCTTCACCCTCCATCCATCCATGTCCCCATCTCCACTCTCCTGGAACTCACCAGATTTCTCGGAGGTCCCTGGGAGGGAACGCTCAGAAGTTGTGGGGAGCAATACAGGAGACAACCTGACCAGGTCAACCATCCATATCTTCCTGTGACATTAACATATAATAATAATAGTAATAAATTTTTATTTATACCCCCCTCCCCAGCCAAGACCGGGCTCAGGGAGGCTAACAACCAATAATAAAAAGTTGATTAAAATACAATTTAAAAGATTCAGATACAACATTAAAACATTAGGATGCAGTCTCTTCATAGGAGGAGAAAGGAAAGAGAAAGAGGGGGAGGGAATCAAACTGATTCTAAGCCAAAGGCCAGGTGGATCAACTCTGTCTTACAGGCCCTGCGGAAAGGAATCAGATCCCGCAGGGCCCTGGTCTCATGAGGCAGAGCGTGCCACCAGGTCGGAGCCAGTGTTGAAAAGGCCCTGGCTCTGGTTGAAGCTAATCTAACTTCCTTAGGGCCCGGGACCACTAGGGTGTTGCTATTTATGGACCTTGAGGCTCTCCGTGGGGCATACCGGGAGAGGCGGTCCCATAGGTACGAGGGTCCTAAGTTTTGAAGGGCTTTAAAGGTCAAAAGCAGCACCTTAAATCTGACCCTGTACTCCACCGGGAGCCAGTGCAGCTTGAAAAGCACAGGGTGAATATGCTCCCATGGCATAGACCCAGTGAGGAGCCTCACTGCAGCATTCTGCACCCGCTGGAGTTTCTGGGACAGCTTCAAAGGCAGACCCGCGTAGAGCGAATTACAGTAGTCAAGCCTGGATGTGACCATCGCATGGATCACTGTGGCCAGGTCGGGGCAGGAAAGGTAAGGGACCAACTGCTTGATGCGGCGAAGGTGGAAAAATGTCGCCTTGGCTGTTGCTGTAACTTGCGCCTCCATGGAAAGGGAGGCGTCAAGGATTACACCCAAGTAGATTCAGAGCTGATGAAGTGGCTGGGCCAAAGCTGAAAGGTAAGCTGGATGTGGTCAAAATGAGATGGCAAGAATAAATATTGACATCCTGGGCATCAGTGAACTAAATTGGACAAGGATGGGCAAAATCAGTTCAGATGACCATCAGAACTACTACTGTGGGCAAGAATCCCGTAAAAGAAATGGAGTGGCCCTCATAGTCAAGAAAAGAGTGGCAAAAGCTGTACTGGGATGCAATCTCAAAATGATAGAATGATCTTGATATGAATCCAAGGCAGACCTACAAGAAGTTGAATACAGATTTGAAAAGAATAGCAAGGAGAGACAAGAAGGGCTTCTTAAACGAGCAATGAAAAGAAATAGAGGAAAACAATAGAATGGGAAAAAACAGAGATCTGTTCAATAAAATTGGAGATATGAAAGATCGTACAAAGAGTACCATAATAAAGGACAAAAGTGGAAAGGACCTAACAGAAGCAGAAGACATCAAGAAGAGGTGGCAAGAATACACAGAGGAATTATACCAGAAAGAAATGGATGTCTCAGTACACTCCAGGTAGTGTGGTTGCTGACCTTGAGCCAGACATCCTGGAGAATGAAGTCAAATGGGCCTTAGAAAGCACTGCAAATAACAAGGCCAGTGGAAGTGATGGTATTCCAGCTGAACTATTTAAACTTTTAAAAGATGACGCTGTTAAGGTGCTACACTCAATATGCCAGCAAGTTTGGAAAACTCAGCAGTGGCCAGAGGATTGGAGAAAATCAGTCTACATCCCAATCCCAAAGAAGTGCAGTGCCAAAGAATGCTCCAACTACCGCACAATTGCGCTCATTTCACACACTAGCAAGGTTATGCTTAAAATTCTACAAGGCAGGCTTGAGCAGTATGTGGACTGAAAACTCCCAGAAGTGCAAGCCGGATTTTGAAGGGGCAGAGGAACCAGAGACCAAACTGCAAACATGCGCTGGATTATGGAGAAAGCTAGAGAGTTCCAGAAAAACATCTACTTCTGCTTCATTGACTTTGCAAAAGCATTTGATTGTGTCGACCAAGCAAACTATGGCAAGTTCTTAAAGAGATGGGAGTGCCTGATCATCTCATCTGTCCGCTGAGAAATCTCTATGTGGGACAAGAAGCTACAGTTAGAACTGGATATGGAAGTATTGATTAGTTTAAAATTAGGAAAGGAGTACGACAAGGCTGTATATTGTCTCCTGTTTATTTAACTTATATGCAGAATTCATCATGCGAAAGGCTGGGCTGGATGAATCCCAAGCCGGAATTAAGATTGCCGGAAGAAATATCACAACCTTGATGGCAGAAAGTGAGGAGGAATTAAAGAACCTTTTAATGAGGGTGAAAGATGGTGAAAATATGGTCTGAAGCTCAACATCAAAAAAACGAAGATCATGGCCACTGGGCCCATCACCTCCTGGCAAATAGAAGGGGAAGAAATGGAGGCAGTGAGACAATGTACTTTCTTGGGCTCCCTGATCACTGCAGATGGTGACAGCAGTCACGAAATTAGAAGACGCCTGCTCCTTGGGAGAAAAGCAATGACAAACCTAGACAGCATCTTAAAAAGCAGAGACATCACCTTGCCAACAAAGGTCCGTATAGTTAAAGCTATGGTTTTCCCAGTAGTGATGCATGGAAGTGAGAGCTGGACCATAAAGAAGGCTGATCGCCGAAGAATTGATGCTTTTGAATTCTGGTGCTGGAGGAGACTCTTGAGAGTCCCATGGACTGCAAGAAGATCAAACCTCTCCATTCTTAAGGAAATCAGCCCTGAGTGCTCACTGGAAGGACAGATCCTGAAGCTGAGGCTCCAAGACTTTGGCCACCTCAGGAGAAGAGAAGACTCCTGGAAAAGACCCTGATGTTGGGGAAAGATTGAGGGCACAAGGAGAAGGGGACGACAGAGGACTAGATGGTGGGACAGTGTTCTCGAAGCTACCAGCATGAATCTGACCAAACTGAGGGGGGAAATAAACACCACCTAACAGGGTGGGTCCAGTATCACCAAATAAATGAGGTCTTCAAAGCTGACAAGAAAAAGGGTTTTGCAATTTCAGTATTGGATAAAGAATTATTACAAAACAAAACAAAAGTAGTTTCTAAAATGTATGGAACCTTATTGGAGTGGGAGGATGTGAATGAACAGGTAAAGGCGGTAATGATCAAATTGGATATGGATTTAGGTAAACCTATTCAATTAACATCATGGGGAAAATTATGGAAGGAGAGTTGGAATTTTACGGCTTGTGAGGCAATAATAGAAAATTTGATAAAGATGTTTTATAGATGGTATTTAACACCAACCAAGATATGTAAAATGTATAAAAGAAAATCAAAATTATGTTGGAGGTGTAACCAACTAGAGAGGACACTTCTGCATATGTGGTGGCTATGTGATAAAATCAAGGGCTTTTGGGATACGGTGTATGAAGAACTAAAGAAAACATTTGAACAAAATTTTGCCCCCAAAACAGAAGCCTTTTTATTGGGAATATTGGATGCAGATATACCAAAAGAACATAAGGAAGTATTTCTTTACACCACAGTGGCAGTGAGAACATTAATTGCCAATTAATTGCCAAAAATTGGAAAAAAAGAAATAATTCCAACAAAAAAAAGCTCTTTTTGGAGGAGGGTCCCTGGCACTCGGGGAGAGACCATAAATTTTGTAACTACTCCAGGTCAACGCTATCTTTCCCCTTAATTCTTCATGAAGTTTCCTAAAACCAGTTATACCATATGCCTTATACCATTTTCTAAAATTCTATGATTATCCCTGCTGTGTTTTATTTAATGGCAATTGAGACTGGTTTCCTAGGTGAAGCTTTTTCCACATTCTAAACAGTCCCCTGCAGGAAATATTTCATGGAAAACTAGATCCACCAACAGAATGAAGCTCTTTCTACATTCCAAGCACTGATATGGTTTCTGACCTGTATGAAGCTTTTCCAAACACCCCCCTGTATGAGTATCTCATGGGAATTGTGGGTGGAGCTGCGAAGGAAGCTTTCCACATTTCAAGCACTAATTTCTTCCCCCCGTTAGTTCTTTCTTGTGAAGTGAGGCTCTCCTTCTGAATGAAGAGCCTTCCTTGATGGGAAGTGTACTGGGAGCTCTAACTAAAGTTCTCGCCACACTCTGAATATTTCTATGGGTTCTCCATTGTGTGGATTATCTTGTTGTCTCCTTTCTTCTTCCTTTCCAATTCACCACCTACAATCTGCTGTTATATGGCAGTATTATCATTAATAATAATAATCCTAGCCTGAGGAAGAAATTGAGCCTGAAATGACTGAACAATGCAAATAAATACTTGTGACAGAGGAAGAAGGGAAGGGAGTTACTGCCTTTTTTGGCTGGTATTAGCGAACTTATTTATGGGAACCCGAGATTCAAAAAGCCTGGCTCTTTCCAGGGATGGATTTAATTTGGCTCAGTCATGGAATCCGCTCCAGCTCCAAGCTCAGTCATTTCTTTGCTCAACCAAAAACAGAGAGATGCAGAAAGGGAAAGAGAAAATTGACAGGATGTACCTCCACGTCCCTAAGATCTCTGAAGCCTACATTGAAGAAGGCCTGGGCAGCTCAGACCAGCCTCATCATGGTTTGAAAAGGCAGGACTGGTGGAAAAATATTCCCAGACAGAACAGGAGATACATCTCCTATTGAGAGTTTTCCATTCCAGGAGAGTTGTGGGTGTGTTAACATCTCAGATGCTGTAGGTGGCGCTATTGGGCTCCCTCAAAATAGAGGAGGTTTGTCCTTCAGAGATCTGTATGGAATTTCAAAACTGATCTTATGATCCAGCAGGGAGCCTTACCAGAGAGGCCACGATCCCACGATTCTCCTCCTTGACTTCCTTCTGCAGAGCTCTCTGGTCAGGATCCAGCAAAGCCCAGTCCTCCTCTGTGAAAGGAACAGCTACGTCTTCAAAGCACACTGGACCCTAAGAGAAAAAGGGAGCATAAAGATGATCGTCTACACATTGCTCTGTTCTTTTCTGTAACAATTTTCTTGTGTATTTAAATGATGGGTATTAATCTTTGTGTAAGTGGGGCAATTCCATAAAATAATAATTTTATTATCTATATGGCAATTATTTTTAAGTAAATCTTTGCAAGCATTCCCATTTTCCAGATGGAAAGACCTCCTCTCTCTTCATCTGGTGGGGTGGACCCTCCCAATGCCCTCAAGCCAACTACAAGGGGCACCAGGAGGGGAAGGGGAGGGAATGTTGGTTGGTTGGCATCCATCTGTCTTAGGAGACCATGGAAGAGTGTGTCTTTGGGAGTGAGATCTGGGGGAGAGACATGTGTTGTTGCATCTGGGTCAGAGGAAGCGGTCCGGTTGTGCTGCTGCAGATGCAGAAGGGCTTTTCTGCTCCCTGTGCTCCCCCCATGTGCAAATGTTCCTGTCTGGCTGCAGCCTTTGTTCACAAATGTGACTTTTCCCTCCATCTGAAGGGGGTTTATTTTCTTGACCCAAAGTCCCCTCCCCCAAAAGGAAGGCAGTATCTGGATCCCAAGGAAGAACAGGGCAGCAGACCTCCTGCGAAGTGGCCCCTCCCTGGCTTGGCAGAGGACAAGGGAGGACCCTCTGCTCCATGACTTGGGGGTCTCTCCCCACCATGCATGATCTGAACAGGGACGCCCATGCCCCCTTCCTGCACCCCTGGGACCCCCTTCTCCCCATTGCACCCTCAGGGGCAAGAGAGAGGAGACTCACCGGATTCCAGGAGAAGCACCAAGGAAGCTTTTGCAAAGGAGAGGGAAGAAAGCGGGGAGGGAGGGGCTTCTGCTCTGGAGGACCTTGCCCCCTCCCCCTTCACTTCCCGTCCTCTCTAGGAATCCAGCTCTGCTCCATTTAACCCTTACAAAGCCTAGCGCGCCGCTCCCTCTCCCTGCCTTCAGTTTTCCTGCTTCTGCGCCTGCGCTCTAGGGGCTGCCCCCCTTCCCTCCCTCTTTCTCCCTCTGGGTCAAGGACTCTGCCCCAAGGAGCCCACATCCAAGCTGACTAACTGCAAGGGAGACGGGGGGGGGGGTCCATGGGGGGTTACCTTGGCTCTCCCCCAACATAGAGGCTCCTGGATCCCAAGGAAAGGCTGGGAGGGAGAAGAGGCGAAGGGCTGCCTAGTGGCGGGAGGTGCCTTGGGCTCAGAAATGGCTCCCTCAAGACACCCCTCCAAAAAACACCCTCCAGCTCAGCGGGGGGGGGGGAGATGGAGGGGGGGCTTCCCAGCCGGGAGACCCCTCCCCTCCCGAAAATAATTCCCCGCCCTCAAGTGGATTTTTCTGCTTCTGCAGCCGCTTTTCATCCCAGGAAAAGAGACGGAGGAGGAAGTGTCCCAGGCGAGGAATGAAACGCACCTGCGATCCTGGGGGGGGGGGGGGCAGGTGTGGAAGCCCAGGAGGGGGGGGGCGCGGGTTGCTCAGGGGGGCAAATCAATAATAATGATTGGGGGGGAAAGGGGAAGACCAGGATGGTGGAGAGAGGGTACCAGACTCCAGTACAAAGCAAGAGGGACCCCTGCCATCCTTTCCCTGCGTGTCCTGCCAGAAAACCAGTTTCTACGGGGCTCCCAGAACCACATGGAGGCAGGAGACCCCATTTCCCACCCCAGAGCAGGGCTGGACCAATCAGAAGCCTCTCCAGTGGACAGCTGGCCAATCCCCTTTCAGATTCCCCTGGGCCTCCTCCTCTCCTTCGCCCGGTTTCCTGAGGGAGTTTTCCCCCTGAGTTTCCCTCATGGCTGCTCCCCCTCCCAGCTTATCCTTCATTTCTCCTTCCTTCTCTTCCTGTTCCTCTTTACCCTCATTGTTTGGGGGCAGCTGGATTCCCCCCCCCCCCCAGGCCCAGGCAGGCCGTTTAGGAGCCCAGGGAGGCGGCAGGGCCAGGAGAAGGCATTTCCCGCCCTTTTCCAAAATAGGCGGGAACGCCATTTTGTTTCTTCCAGAGGCCCGAGCCGCTCCCATGGCTCCCCTGTGGGCCTCGGGGGTACCATGCTCTTGGGGTCTCTCCTCCCGAATGAAGGAGGGCGGCACCTTTGGTCCTCAGCCGCCTTCCTGCCATGATGGCTTGGCCTCCGCAGGGCAGCCTCTCTCCTCGCCATGTTGACCCACGGAGGAGGCCTCTCCGTTGGGAGACGCCAGGCAAGCGGCCTTGGGGGATCCGCCAGGTTCTGCAAAGGGGGCCAGGAGGGAAAGCCCCTCTCTGTTTCGGAGGCCCAAGGAGGAGGAGAATAACAGTAGTAGTAGTAGTAGTGTAGCCTTATGAGGCTTTGCCCTCGGGTGGGGAAAATATTGCGCCCGGGAAAGGGAAGTGGGAGTCAAGAGACACTCAAGGAATAGTTTCGGAGAAAAAGCTTTATTTCTACCATCCATGAACTGGTAGAAGGAGCAAGTGTGATAACTCACAAAAAGCATGCACGGGTTCACAGTCATGTGCACAGAGTTTATATACCACTTCCAGTTCCCTCCCCTTTTCTCCTCCCTCAGGAGTCCTGCCCCATGAGTTCCTCTGAGCATGAACAGAAAGCTGTCTTGGGACTATTGTGGACATTTGGCGCCCTTCCCAGGAAAGGGGGGGTGAGAAGCCAAGGGGGTGGGTTGAGGAGCCCTGGTGGTTCAGCATGTCCAAGATGTTGCAACCGACAGAGATAAGATTCTGTTTCTCAGGCCTGAGTATTCTTGGCAATGACAGAGCCTATTCATTAGCCTTTTGAAGCCTTCTCGTGCTGGTAAAAGTAACGGTTTTGCCTTGCAACAGCAGAGCAAATGAGCAGATGCTTAGCTAATGCCTTTTAGCTGAGAAAATGATTTTGAGAAGCTTTGAGCCTGCTTTCGGGGGGGGGGGGTGACTTCGGGCCTAGGTGGGGTCACCTGTCTTCACCATCCTTCAGTAGTAATAAGGGCTTTATCCCCTCAAAGGTGGAGGGTTCCCTCAGGGGAGTTTGACCCCTGGAGCAGCATCCTTGGTCACCCCAAGAGTCAGCGCTAGGAGAAGGGCTCCACCTGCAGGCCTAGGGGAAAGGGGGCTCTTCCCTAGACGAGGCTGGAGACTCCCCTTCTGGCCCCTCGGGGTCCCAGGAGCCCTTTCTGGATGGCCCTCACTTGCCCCCCAAATGGGCCAAGACATCTGTTCCTCCCCCTCGGGCAGTAGTTGAACAGGAAAAGTCACTCCCACTCCTGATCCCTGCGGGTCTCAGGAGGCAGTGGGGGGACTCTAGGGAACTAGCTGAACTGGGGTCCTCCCAGTCCAGCCCAGACAAGAAAGAGAGGGAGCTCTCAGAAGAGGAAGCCATTGCGGAGAAGAACCGGACTTGGCTGTTCTCTGCTGAGGGTCTCCTGCCTTTCTTCCAAGGCTTCCTGCGGGTGCCATGGCCAGAAGAAGAGACAGGGCCCGCACCCTGAATCCCCTGCAGGGCCCTGGGGAGCAAGCAGAGCCTGCCTCAGTTTCCTTCCCCAAGGCTTTGGGGGAACTTTGGGTGCGGAAGGAGGAACTCCCAATGGATCTCAGACTCCAGGCAAGTGGGGAAAGGAACATGATATGGCACTTTCCAGATGAGTCTCAATACAATACAATAATCTATATTGTCATTGTCCCATACAGAACAACGAAATTGAAAAAAATGTACATCAGACATTCAAAACCAACAAGCCTGCTATCCCAACCTGGTCACCCCCTAAAAACTCTGATACCCCACAATTAAATACAATGTACTCTCATAGAGACTACCTTACACTGCATCTAAAACCAAAATCACATTTGGATAGAAACTGTTTCTCAGGTGGCTAGTCCTAGTCTTTATAACCCTGTACCTTCTTCCAGAAGGCAGAAGCTGAAAGAGATCATTTCCGGGGTGCGCACTATCCTGCACTATCTCTGCAGCTTTTCTATGTAGCACCAACTGCAAATGCCTGCAGGGCCATGAGTAGTATGCATGAAAACATCAATGCTAAATTGAGCAGATACCCTGAGGCAGCGCGGATTATCGTGGGGGACTTCACTCACACAGATGTGAGGGCAGTATTCCCAAAATCCCATCAGCACATTGAGTGTGCAATAAGGGGAGAAAATACTCTTGACAAGGTGTATACGAACATCAGCCGGGAATATGAGGCGCACCTCGGTGGTTCAGATCATGTGTCCCTGCTTCTGACACCAGTGTACACACCCCTCAGGAAACAAGGCCAGCTACAAACACAGATGGTTACTCTGTGGCCTGAGGGAGCCTCTCAGCAGTTGCAGGACTGTTTCTAGGAGACTGATTGGAATATGTTCGACCATCAAGATCTAGAAACTTCTACATCAACGGTCCTGGATTATATTAGATTCGGCACAGGAAATGCACCAGGGAAAGGTATGTTAAGTTGTATCCAAATAGGAAGCCCTGGATGACAGGAGAGGTTAGGAGATTCTTGAAGGCCAGAAACTCTGCTTTTAGAACTGGGGACCGGGGACCGTATGGTATAGAAAGAGCGAACTGGAAGAGGGGTATCAGGAAAGCAAAAGTGGGTAAGGAACCATATCATATCTTGTCTGCCAGTAGGACTTGACCCTTACCAGTTTGCGTACAAGGCAAAGAGATCCACGGAGGATGCTGTGGCAATGGCTTTACATCATTCCCAAGGCTCTGTTTATATTCCAGAGACTCCAGGCTGTTGGAAGTCTCACGGGAGACGGATGTTGATGTTACTGGTTTCCTGGTTTCTTTGTTCCAGTTGCCTCTCTGCTTTCACACAGAGAGGATGTATGTTTTTTTTATGTCTGTGTAGTTAGAACTAAAACTCCTAGCATGTAGCTCACATCTCATCTTCTGCTGCTGCTGTATACTCTACGTAATGAGGGAATGTGCCTGGAGCCTCATCAAAGGCTCAGGTCGTTAATCACGTTGGAGGACTCGACCAGAGGAGTAGCTCGGTCGAACGCAAGTCCAACATGAGCTGTGTTGTTCAGTGCCCTGCTCACTCACTCCTGCTGTGCTTCCAAGTAGATTTGTGAAGGCCTTCTCCCTTGTTACATTTTCAAAATACCAGAAGCTGGCAACTCTGCGGTATAGATGCAAAACGGATGCTGAATGCTTCCAGTGTCTTCAAACAAATTTGTACTTTTATCTGCTTCGCCTGCACAATAAGAAGGATTTCTGGAGGGGCCTAATATCTGGCCTTTATTGAGCATTAGTTTCAATTTGTTCATGAGGAGGTTGCACATTCTACAATGCACATTCGCCTTGCATCTCGTTCAGAATTGCTTGCATGAAGAATATATGTTTCCCATTAATCCCATTTTTTGTGCATTTCCCATTACTTTTCTAACTGCAAAAGTCTGGTTTCTCTTGCAGTGAATATGTTGCACTAGGGCAACAGATCGTTTCAGCCCACTTTAAACATGCAAACCTAACTTTCCTGTATGCGCGCAAATCCCTCATGCACAATAGTGGTGACAATCTGGAGGCAACCTCAGTGAAATATTGGCAAAGGGTCCTTGTTTGTTGCTGTTGTTTTCCTACATTCAGCCCTGGCCTACTGCCATTCTTGCTGGAAAATGGCTATTATAAAGTCCATATTTGCTTTCTCTTGCTTTGGCCTATAGGGTTTGCATTTCAGAGATTATCATCTTTAATCTCTGCCCATGGCCTCACTGGACCTGGGTTTTGCAGGGGTGGCAGGCGAGGTAAACTGAAAGAAAAGGACCCCTTCCTCTCAGTGTTGGAGGGCTATTCTGCTGTCTCACTAGTACCATTAACTACTCAAAAGTTTATTTACTGCAGTAAATAGGTTCAGTGTGGTCATTTCCACAAAGGATGAACAGAGAGGGGGTGTTACCCCCTGGACCTTTTATAGGATATACAGACAAAGAATTCATATAAAATCCAGTCAAAAAGCTGCAAACATCAGCAGAGGGTAGCTGGCAAAACACCCATTGGATACAACTGTCTGGATGTCCAGCCTGCAACTTGACTTGTGTCCAGCTCTTCTAGAGCCCCTCGCTTCTAAAGTTTTGAAGCCTACTGTGGCGTTTGTCCGTTCGTTTGAAAATGTCTGTACGGGGGGGGGGGGAGAAAGAGTTAATAGGTAGACCAATAGAAAAGCCAGAGTCGGAGCCTACCTGTTTATAAAAGGGCTTAGCCCAAGGTTTAGGGTGGGTAGTTGGTTTTAGTGGGTTGGTTGGTTGGGAAAGGCAGTTGGAAAAGCAGTTGGAAATAGAGAGACAGTGCAGTTGGTTCTTGTGTGAGGGGAGGTAGAAGAGATAGAGACAGAAGAAGAGGAGGAGGAGGAGGAAGAAGAAGAAGAAGAAGAAGAGGAGGAGGAGGAGGAGTTTGGATTTGATATCCCGCTTTATCACTACCCAAAGGAGTCTCAAAGTGGCTAACAATCTCCTTTTCCCTTCCTCCCCCACAACAAACACTCTGTGAGGTGACTGAGGCAGAGAGACTTCAGAGAAGTGTGACTGGCCCAAGGTCACCCAGCAGCTGCATGTGGAGGAGCGGAGACGCGAACCTGGTTCCCCAGATTACGAGACTACCACTCTTAACCACTACACCACACTGGCTCTCAGGATAAAATAAGACTAAGAAGGTAAAGAGTAGCAACGTTTGGAATGCAATTAAAGTTTATTTGTGTTTGCAATAAACTACACTCTTCTTTTTAAACTTAAGAACCTGACTGAGACTGGTGGCCGCGGATTAGTGGTGTACGGGTCAATAGTCCGTGAGATGACCGGGGGCTCCATATGAATGCCACACCTATGTACTAAAGAAAGGAGAATTGTAGTCTGTGATTTATGTTCACCTAGATAACAAGCCTATATGAGGGCAAGTTGTCCTTGGTAAGCTGGCATAGCCAGACTCCCAGCTGCCAAACTCCCATAATTTTGCTACTTCCAAGTTCACTGCTCAATATCATTCTTATTTGTTCTCCCGGAGCCAAGCAGCAACTGGACTACCGTATTTTTCGCTCTATAAGATGCACTCAACCATAAGACGCACCTAGCTTTAGAGAAGGAGAACAAGGAAAAAAAAATTCTCTCCCTCTCTGCGCAGCACCTCTCCAGCGAGGCGAAGTCAGAACAGCAAGAGAGATCTCTGCGCAGCGAAAGCGGTGACCCCTCTCCCTCTCCTGGCTTCAGGGATAGCTGCGCAGCCTGCATTCGCTCCATAAGACGCACACACATTTCCCCTTACTTTTTAGGAGGGGAAAAGTGCATCTTATAGAGCAAAAAATACAGTATGTGTCTTTTATGCACAAAAGGGAACTGTCATGAGCCAAAAAAGTCAAGGGTATTTTAACTGAACCCCAATGTCTTATTCAATTGGGACTTTTTATAGGTTTCTCACAAAAAGCATATTTGGGGGGCCCTTGGAGTCCCCCCACCAGGAGGACATACTTAAAGGCATTCGCTGCAAAGGCCCTGTTTGTGATATCAAGTCACCTTCCAGAAGCAGCAGGTGTGAGCAGCCTTTGGGGATTGACTTTGTTTTTTTATTAGAATCCCAAGATCCACCATTTGGAGACTGGGGCAAAAGCAACACACTTGGAATGAAAGAATCGCAAGGTAGGCCACTCATTGCCTCTTAGTCAGGCTCCAGCATGCTCCCCCATGTGATGTTTAAAGCCAAGAGCTTAGGGTGCTTTGGCAACCCATATGATCTACTTGGTGCATTTTCCTCAAACCGAACTCTTTCCATTTTGAAAACGGAAGCTAAGGCTGAGCTGAGGTGTTTACATTTCATGAGCCATTGCTCAAGTGCCATTGACAGCTCAGCTGGTTAGAGTCCGGTGCAGATAAGAGTGTGGTGCTGATTAGTGGCATAGCGTGGGTTGCCAGTGCCCGGGGCCTCATGGAGTAGGGAGAGGGAGAGAAACTGACAGAGTACGCATGCACATTCAACTGCCTAACAGCATCCATATCACCCAGGATATTGCAGCCTAAGAAAAGAAGAAGAGGAGGAGGAGTTTGGATTTGATATCCCGCTTTATCACTACCCTGAGGAGTCTCAAAGCGGCTAATATTCTCCTTTCCCTTCCTCCCCCACAACAGACACTCTGTGAGGTGAGTGGGGCTGATAGACTTCAGAGAAGTGTGACTAGCCCAAGGTCACCCAACAGCTGCATGTGGAGGAGCGGAGACGCGAACCCAGTGTTGGCTATTTGCAGTATGGTAGCGCTGCAGAGAGCTTGCTGGGGAGACCATGCATTAAAAAGGGACTCAAAAATGGCTTAAACAAGGTTTTAATTACAAAAACAAAAACTCCTTATACACTAAATACATCAACAACAAACCAGACCCAACCACCAACCAATCCCCCAGGGTAATGGGAGAGCTAGGTGCTGCTCCTTATATACTACACCCAAATGCTGACACAGCTTAATCAATACAACTCAGCAGCACCTGCTATGTTTCACAGCTGTAAAGCTGGGTCTCGTTATTTTGCTCTGGCCCTTGCTCTGGCCCCTTAAAGACATACACATCGAGTGGAACAATGATGAACCTTTACATTTAAAGAAACCATTCAACACCCGGTTCCCCAGATTACGAGTCTACCACTCTTAACCACTATACCACACTGTCATTTCTCTGTCTGGAGAGGTCACTTCCTGGTTCGCATGGAGAAGCTGTTTTCAGT